GATTGTTAGCGTTCCCGATGAAGGTCATTCAAGACAAGCGCTACGGACCCAACAATTTAATAAATATATCTTTACATGTTATTGTCAATATCTAAATAAAATAGCGATTTTGATTAGTTTTTTTAACAGACAAATCGAGATCTGGCGGGCCTTTGGTGAACTTTCTTATATCTATTCGTTAGTTTTAAGTATAGTCTTGGTGTGGTTGTAAGAGCTTGGTGTTTTGCTCTTTTGTGTTCCTTTTGGAGTGAAGAATTTTATGTTTTATCACAACGGCTCTTTTGTATGACCTGATAAATCAGTTTTACAGTCCACACACGATGACGATAACAGCTAGGAGAATAGAAGTGGTTACGAAATCGTTGATAGGGTAGTGCCAAAAGTTGTAAGACAGTGGAATGCATGTAGTTGTCCTTTATGCGCATTATAACAGAAGATCAAGACCACATCAGCAGGTAGGTAGTCATATTTACGGGGTGGAAATGTATACTGTAGTCAGTGGTTCCATCCTTAACCCAGCTAACATCTTATAGCAGGCCCCTAACAGAACCTTTCTTTGTACGTCCAATCAACTTAATGAATAAGACTCGAGTCGATGATGATAAATACCGGCTATATAAAAAATAAAGCAAAGTACGACTAAGAAACCCTTAAAATGACTTGTAATAACGCTTATAAGACAAGAGTTAAAAATTTAGGTGATTCTTCAATGACCTCAATGGAATAATAGAAAATAGACAATAGACATGTATATACATATTTTCTTATTAGAAAATTCGGAATGTAAGAACTTGACTTATACTTTCCTTATCTTAGATAATGCAGCTACAAAGTGTGTGCTATGCATGTATGCCGTCTTGAACTTGCAGTGATAAGATTTGTGCTCCATATTGAAAGCCTCATTCTGAGTTTGAATACAGAACATAAATAGAAGCGCTATTTCTTTGCTTTTGGTTTATTAGTTTGCGGTCGATATTTTTTTAGTATTTCTTTGTGTCATAAATTCTATTCTATCAAATATATAAATGGATGAATAAATGGTCTTGAGTATTTTCCACTCTTTACTCAAATAAAAAGAGCATAGAACAGCAGGATATATTTTTTGTCATTTCCAGAACATAATCAAGACAATTTCGTTGTGCAAATTTTATTTCCCCTTATTTGTCTTCGTGCTATTATGTTTCTTTTGTTCGTGTGACTTTTGACGTGACTCAGTATTTGTGCATCCCGCCATCGGGGTTTTGACTTTTTAGCTTTGGACATTCCTGGTGCAAGTGGGTCCTGAGGTGCGATTCGGAAACAACGGGCTTTTACGGTGTTGTTTCTATTTGGTTTACCTTTGTATTTATATTTATTAAGTTTTTACTTTTATATCGAGAAAGTGTATACTATATAAGGTATGTACTTTAAACGACAAAAACTTTTTTGTTGACGTCATTGTCAAATTAACTATCTACTACACCTTTTCTGTTGGTGTCTATGTTAGATTAATATGTAAATTTGTTTGAATTTTTAGTCAGTTGTGTTGTATATCTGCTATGTATATATACACAGTTTTGGCTGCTGGATCCCAATTATTGTCACATTAACCTATTATGTCTGTTTGGGTTGCTCGCCCAATTTTGTCAATATAATGGAACTATAAACAACTGTCATACAAGTAGAAGGTTTAGCTAGCTATAAAACCAGGTTTAACCCACCATTTTCTTCGGAAGTCAGGAACATGGCAGTTGTTTTTTCGACTTGTTCCGTTGATTGGTCACGTTGATTTTGTCAGTTTTTATGCACTTCCCCTTTTTGAATTTGATTTGGAGTTCGGTATTTTTGTTACACTTTTTTGGACGACTACTTCACTATAAGAATCACTTCGCGAAGTGCGCACAAGATATCGGTGAATAGTGTGCGATATTAACCGTGCTGATATAAAGTAAACAAACACGCTAACAAAGAATCAAGATCCACCAGCATCGATAAGGAATAGATAACCAGGACAGATCATTTCATCGATGGATAACGTTAGTCATAGTGGATAGTTAACCTTAGTTTGAACTGAACGATTATTATTGAATCAGGAAACGAGGTCAAGTCCAAGTAACTCCTACTATGTTGCTTATAGTATCTGTAAAACAGATTGAAACACAAAAACATAACATTGACCAATGGACCATAAAAACTAAATTGGTTCGAGGTGACATGAAACCTGCCAGACAGACGGAAACTTTGTAACATAAGGCATCTAAAAACAAGGTATGAAGTATCTAGGTCTTCGACCTTCTGAAATATAAATAATATAAGCCATCGCGCTGGGTAGTAACTCCTAATTCTCGCATTCTACGAATTTCCCTGCAGATAAGACCAACATAAAATTGAAATAGGTGGACTTATTTTGCATGTTTCTCAGAACAGAAGAACCTGTTTTGTACTTCCGAATTTCAAGGCACCAGTAAGCTCTAATATATAAGTAAAGGTAAGTAGTTTTTTTTCAGCACTAGCCATTGAAGGTATAGTTTCGACATGCAATGGCTGTCACATTATTTAAACTTAAGACACAATACCCATCAATGCTTGATTTGGAGAATTTAACATAGAAATCAATTGGGCCATGCAGTAGTGTTTTTATTCCTTTAGGGGAAGCAAAATGATGTAGCTTTCATAGGAACAAAGATATACATCTGAGTAACACTATTTAAACTGAACATAGACATTTGTTGAAAACTTTGTGTCATACAGACGATCAGATGACAAAAGGAAACTAGAGGCTCTAAAGAGCCTGTGTCGCTCACCTTGGTCTATGTGCATATTAAAAACAAAGGACACAGATGGATTCATGACAAAATTGTGTTTTGGTGATGGTGATGTGTTTGTAGATCTTACTTTACTGAACATTCTTGCTCCTTACTACTATCTCTATCTATAATGAACTTGGCCCGGTAATTACAGTGGAAAATACTTTGTAAAAATTTACAAAAATTTACAAAATTTATGAAAATTGTAAAAAATTGACTATAAAGGGCAATAACTCCTTAAGGGGTCAATTGACCATTTTGGTCATGTTGCCTTATTTGTAGATCCAACTTTGCTGTACATTATTGCTGTTTACAGTTTATCTCTATCTATAATAATATTCAAGATAATAACCAAAAGCTGCAAAATTTTCTTAAAATTACCAATTCAGGGGCAGCAACCCAACAACGTGTTGCCTGATTGGTCTGAAAATTTCAGGGCAGATATATCTTGACCTAATGAACAATTTTATCCTCATCAGATTTGCTCTAAATGCTTTGGTTTCAGAGATATGAGCCAAAAACTGCATTTTACCCTATGTACTATTTTTTAGCAATGTCGGCCATCTTGGTTTGCGGGCGGGGTCATCGGACACATTTTTTAAACTAGATACCCTAATGATGATTGTGGACAAATTTGGTTAAATTTGTCTTAGTAGTTTCAGAGGAGAAGATTTTTGTAAAAGATTACAAAAATTTACGAAAAATGGTTTAAAATTGACTATAAAGGCCAAAACTCCTTAAGGGGTCAACTGACCATTTTGGTCATGTTGACTTATTTGTAGATCTTACTTTGCTGAACATTATTGCTGTTACAGTTTATCTCTATCTATAATAATATTCAAGATAATAACCAAAAACGGCAAAATTTCCTTAAAATTACCAATTCAGGGGCAGCAACCCAACAACGGGTTGCCTGATTGGTCTGAAAATTTCAGGGCAGATAGATCTTGACCTAATGAACAATTTTATCCTCATCAGATTTGCTCTAAATGCTTTGGTTTCAGAGATATGAGCCAAAAACTGCATTTTACCCTATGTACTATTTTTTAGCCATGTCGGCCATCTTGGTTCGCGAGCGGGGTCATCGGACACATTTTTTAAACTAGATACTCTAATGATGATTGTGGACAAGTTTGGTTAAATTTGTCTTAGTAGTTTCAGAGGAGAAGATTTTTGTAAAAGATTACAAAAATTTACGAAAAATGGTTAAAAATTGACTATAAAGGGCAATTACTCCTTAAGGGGTCAACTGACCATTTTGGTCAAGTTGAATTATTTGTAGATCTTACTTTGCTGAACATTATTGCTGTTTACAGTTTATCTCTATCTATAATAATATTCAAGATAATAACCAAAAACGGCAAAATTTCCTTAAAATTACCAATTCAGGGGCAGCAACCCAACAACGGGTTGTCCGATTCATCTGAAAATTTCAGGGCAGATAGATCTTGACCTGATAAACAATTTTACCCCATGTCAGATTTGCTCTAAATGCTTTGGTTTCAGAGATATATGCCAAAATCTACATTTTACCCCTATGTTCTATTTTTAGCCATGGCGGCCATCTTGGTTGGTTGGCCGATTCACCGGACACATTTTTTAAACTAGATACCCCAATGATGATTGTGGCCAAGTTTGGTCAAATTTGGCCCAGTAGTTTCAGAGGAGAAGATTTTTGTAAAAGTTTACGGACGACGGACGACGGACGACGGACGCAGGACGACGGACGACGGACGACGGACGCAAAGTGATGAGAAAAGCTCACTTGACCTTTCAGGTCAGGTGAGCTAAAAAGAATGTGTCTCTTTAAAATAATGTACTGTACCCCATCTTCTCATCAATATGGATTCTACACATAGACAAAAAAAACTAACAAAATACCAAACTGCAAGCAAAATTCAAAATGGGGGAAGTCAATAAAACCTGAAAAAAGGAAAAACTCGACTATATCAACTAACGAAACGAATGGTAAACGACTGTCATATTCCCGACTTGGAACAGGCATTTTGAAAAAAAAAATTGGTGAGTTAAACCTGGTTTTATAATAAGCTAAACCTCCCTAAATAATTTGCTGTATGAATAAACAGATGCACAGTCGCACAAAAAATCAATTTGAATATAGTTTATAACTTGATACCAATAACACTAGGAAACCATAATATGGATTCACATGCGCTTTCTATCAGGCATAATTATGTATAAGTGACTAGAAAATGTTTTGTATAAAAGCTTTATTATTTTATCATTTTATCAAGACAATCCAGGAAATGAGAAGGAACATATCAAGTTCAGATGTTTACAACAAAAATATTTCTTTAATTTTACCAATGTAAAAACATAAAGATAATGCTACACATAGAATTACTTCTATCTCAAGTACACTTAATATTTCTTTCACATGATTGGTTCAGACTTTCTCATTGCAATTACTCTATGCAGTTTAAGCTACTGGTAAAAAGACATTTTGACCAACGAAAACATCCATATTAAACAGTTCCTTTCCTTTCTGAACTAGTCCATGTGCAATATTCATGTAGAAATAAGGTTTAAAATAACACAATTCATGTATTAGATATTGTATAACAGTGTTTTCTGTAGCATATAACATAAACAGAAATACTGGCGCTAATTACAATCATTGTAAGTTATCAGTTTGGAATGTCTCTCCATTTTTTCTTCAAAAAAAAATATTTTTATAAAAATCTACTTCAAAATATATATATAAACAATATCTGCTGTCCTTGACCCAAGGACTGTGGTCACATGACTGACCTAGCAAATCAGGGAATTACTGTAAAGCAGAAGATCTGGACCCATAAGGGTTACTAAAGGGAAACCAGTTGTTGCAATTAACTGACAAGAAAATCAATGTATTCTTCAAATTGCCTTTGAAATATCATATTGAACATAGTAACATCTATTAAAATTTTAAGATAACTTTTAAATGCTGTCAAACATCAGATCTGGTTCATAACATGTTTAGGAAAACTTTATTTTGCACCACATCTGATTAACCTTTAGAATACCTTATTTTGTGCCACATTGTTGAAAATTAATTCCCTATTAAACAGATTTGTAAAGCTATGACATAAAAATTTCAATGTGACAAAACCATCTGGTCTACATAGTAATTAAGAACTAATTAGGGCACTGTTGTCATAGCAACCACAGCCTCTCCAGTCACCTGACTGACCTAGCAAACCAGCAAAAGTCACTGGTTAGGGCACTGTTGTCATAGCGACTAGAGACACCCTCACATGACTGTCCTAGCAAATCTGACAACCTGATTGGATATTTGAGGTTGTCATAACAACCCTCAACATGACCATTCCTGCAGCTGACCTGGCAAGCCAGAAACAACAAATAACAAACTGGCTGGGCACTAATGCTGATGAAATGGACATCTTTAGGGTAGCAGAGCAACATCAAATCCCCATCAGACATCAGATTAGGGCACTTATTGTCATGGTAATAGTGGTTAGATCAAAGACAGCTTAGAACTATTTTGTATAAAAATATAACAATACTTTGCCTTGGCAATAACAAATTGCACAGCTAGACTGGACACATTCAATGTTCACAAAAATAAAGAGTAAAAAGAAAACAATACATTGTTTAGACTTTTTCAAAGTCATACGACCATATGGACCACCTTTCACACGTGTACAACAATAAAAAAAAATTATAAGAGCATACACGCAGGGCATATAATGTCACATATGGCCCTACTTATAATTTCAAAGGGAAAGTTTCAAACTACATTTCTACAAATCACTACAGGCAACCTACATTTACACTTCAACACCTACCCACTACTTTCATTAAAATTATAAAAGCAAAGAGATGAAAAGCTTATAAGATATTCTGGCTTAATTCCAGATCTCCATTCACAAAACAAAACATATTGTAGTAGTAATAAGTAATTATACACATTTTTAAGACAATTGTAAAGAATTATTTCTATTTCATGGGATAATATATAGGTAACAATAAATAATTGTACTGTAAATGCATATATGACAATGTTTCTAAGAATAAAAAATGCTAGTGAATCAATAATTTACTTTATCTTGCACAACTTTACATTAATTACTTTAAAAACTACTGTTTTGCTTCTAAAAGGTGAATCAATGTTTCTATCAGAATGTATTGTATAATGTAACATTAAACATTCACCTGTACAAGTAAAGATAACTATAGATACTTGGAAAGGGAGGCAACACATAAAACTTTGAAAACTTGCTGAAAACCTTCTCACTTGGAACAAGACTAGGTTCACAAAAACAAATTAAGTAAATGAAATTTTGGAATGAACTTATTGAAATAAAAAAATCACAACTCTGATTACAGAAAATTAACAACATAAACAGTTAAATAATAGAACATATATCTGAGAATGTTAAGAAGCACAACCTTTTTATATATCTTGGTGTGTATATGAAACAGATTTTAGTCATGTGTGCAATAATATAAATTTATACTAAAGAAAAGTAATGTGTATAAATAAAGGCAACAGTAGTATACCGGTGTTCAAAAGTCATAAATTGATCGAGAGAAAACAAATCCGGGTTACAAACTAAAACCTAGGGAAACACATCAACTATAAGAGGAAAACAAAGTATATAAGTTGCAATAAGTATTTTTCTTGTTTCTCCCAACATTTAAGTTGTAGGACACTTTATCAATACACAGTGATGAAAACTGATAACATTATAAATGGTAATGTTCTCACTTTCTGTAATGTTAAAATGTATATGTCAGAATTGCAGTCATTTCTTCTATGATTTGAAGTTTATTACTCTGTTTCTCTGATTTCAAAATTCAAATTCAGAGGTACAACAAATTGCATTATAATCTGTAATTTTCTAATTTTCTCTTTTAAAATTTATTCAAATAAATAATGTTTTGACAATATTTATAACATTATTATTTTTCTCCTCATTTACACTGATGTAAAACTACAGTTATACACATTATTTAGTATATCTATATCATAGATAACATTATTGATTTGTGATTTACTTTGATGTTTATGTTCTTAAGGATGTTGTGCATGAAGGAAATGTACAAATAAAAACTGAAACATAAATTTATCAATTTCTAGTGAATATATACTGCATATAATCTAATAGGTTTAACTCACACTAGTTCAATTGGTCAAATAAGAATATTTTGGTAAATAAAATTGACAAGCTGAAAGAAATTCTTAAGTTAAAACTATGTACGAAAACATGTATGACTATAATCTGAGACCTGAGCAGACATAAAACAGATAGTATACGTCCACAGATATGGAATGCCTCTAAATAAAATGTTTAATATTAATTTATAAAATAATCGCCATTAAATTTTGATATGTGAATACATGAAATACTGCCAATTGTGACAAGATATAAAGTATTTATCGGACAAAACTGTCTCTTAAAATAACATGAATTTCTACATTTAAAGGATACCCAACAGGATTACAAGGAGTTAAATGACATTCTTGTTCTACAATAAACAATTCAAGTGAATCAAATAAAAACTTTCTCATTACTTAGTAAATAGATTTCACACAATATATCCAATTTTATTTTAGTCAATGTTAATAATTAAGATGCTTAAATATTACCAAGCCATTAAAACATACATATGACTTCAAATGCTTATAAAGCATTCTTATGACTTGTAAAGAGTTATTTCCCTTGGATGTTATTATATTATGAATTCAACATCAAATCTCATTATTTTGGTAACATTCAAATCTAAGTAGGTATACTAAGAGCCATTTTAGCATCCCTATGGAAAAATAGTATAAAGGATGTAGATCATACAGAAATACTTATGAATCTAAAAGGAGTAAGTAATGTTAATTCAGAAATGTTTGTAATGGATTTTATTATTGCAAAAACAATTGCTACAGCATTGGTTTTGTAAAAATCGAAAACTAGCATTTTAAATTTTGATAGCATTATTTGTATGCTACATTTAACACAATCTCAATAATTATTCTCACATTTTTGTTTGCTGTTCAATAATGGCAATTATAAATGCACAAAAAAATTTCTGAATTTACATTTGTTCTTATTCTGAAAATGTTTGAAGGCTTAGACAAATTTCAAGTAATTTTTAACTAATATCTGAATTCTTTAATTTTGAGAGAATTGTAATATTTCAAAATGTAGGGATCAAAAGGATGCCTTGTTACGTCTATTGCCTAAGGAATTCAATAAAAATGACAAAATAGACACATTATGGATCCTTTTGATATTAGAAAGGATCTTCTTAACTGTATAATTAGTAAGCACCATGTGGGGTCATGCAAAGCAGAGATGCTGCAAATTTATAACATTTACACACTAAGCCTATCACCCTGTAAATGTACGAGCTATTCTAATTGTCAGTGTTTCGTTTGATCAAGCTGACATATTGCCTGCTGCATTGTAATTAAGTAAAAACTTTTTAGTTGTGTAAACTTTCGAAAAAGAAATGGTACTCATTTTTGTGCAGTTTCACTCACAATGCAACAGGTAATGGTCACTATCTTCAATACTCTCATTTTTTCACACAGGCAAATTATATTTCCAATCATGCTGTCTTTAAATCACTGACAAATTAAAATTCAGCTCCATTCTAAATCAATATCCATTTATTTAATCTATTAAACTAGCAACATACTCAAAATGTCCCGATTAGCAAAACTGTCTAAATGTGAAATCACTTTTACATTACTAAGATATTTCAGCAATTTTAAGCTACAGTGAAGATTTTCAACAAACCAGGTAATGTGCAGGGGAAAAAACTCACTTTTTTTTTTTGTATTTACTGTCATTCATTACAGTAGCTTATAAACAGCATTTAATAAAAAGTAAAACTGCATAAGATGATCTTGGGTATGCAGCAAAAGCAAGAATGGCAACCATAATTCAATGTTTCATGACAAGAAAAATGACAGATTTTGAAGACTTCAGATTTCCTCAAGATGTTTTATGCTAGAATCAAGTGCCAAATGAAATAAACTTGAAAAAGAAAATCTGATTATTGTTTAAATGTGTGTGCAATACAATATACACAGGGCAGACATGAAACAAATTGGAAAACACACAGGTACCTGGTATTGTTTTGGAAAGTGGTATGGAAATGACAGATTAGTAAAAGATTACATGGTTTGTTACAAAGCTCTCTGTTTTTTACCAAAATTCTTTCATCATCTCTCCAGTGTGTGCAGCATCTCAACTTCCATTCCCAAGAATTTTAACCATGGAGTAACCCTATATAATATAGCAATGGTCTCATTATAAAAACGAAATAAAAATTTCAAAACTTAAATATCAAATAAAATGGTAGATTTGGGATTTAGAAGTTTTACCCTAAGATAATTGATCAATCAATATCATTTGTGTCTTAGAAAAATTTGAATAACACTTTATAATTTGTGGTTGTAAGTTGAAGGGATATAAATTTAATTTATAATTTTGAGATGATCCTAAAGATAACTGGACAATATAATTTGCTTCAAAGAAGTAAGAAAATGAATATAATTACAATTGATTCCTACAATGTCACATGCTCTTTTTGCCAATTCAAAATAGCCAAATTATAAGTCAAACAATGGATATTTACAAAATCACAACCCTCAAAAAGATTTTAGGCATAAATAAGTGATATATGTAATGTTAAACATCATTAAAACTGTGTTTCAGTATTTCCTAATAAGCAATTGTCTTTATACAATTATCAAATGTTTTATGTGGCCATATAAAAATCAAATATTCAAAAAGAAAGAATTAAATAAAGAAAATATCAAGCATTAAATGATGAAAAAAATCTATAAATACAAAACATTAGGCTTTTAAATTCAGATAAAAATGAACAATATCATAAAAATCTGAACTTTTATTGAAAATTAAAATTAAATATAGTTTATATAAAATTTGGAGACAGAGAGTGAACAACAGCTTTCAAAAATCCAAGTATATACACCTTCAAAATAATTTTTCCAGTTTAATTCACTTTGCCATTTAATTTGGAAGTGTTGTTCTAATATGAAACTTCCCATCACCCACAAACTGAATAATCAGACAAAACATTCTTCCAAAGATTCCAAAATAAGATATGTACAAATGGATAAACAATAAAGGGACACAACACCAAATTATTTAATGCAAAGGAAGGTGCTCAATACTTCTTGGTGATTGTCCTTGTGGATTTACATTTAAAAGCATTTTTTACATTTCTAAATAAATAGAGTGAACTTTACTAACTAAGGGATAATCCTCCACCTTCGAATCAAGTTCTTAAGAAGAGTCAAATAGAATATAAGGAAATTAGAAATTTTCAAAATAAAGACTATAAATATGACATTTAAATCTTGTCATAATTAGTTTTTATAAATAATATTATACATTACACATCAAAATAAATTGAATAAAAATCTATGAATGATAAATTGTAAGGCTTAACCCCTAAGATACAATAATTGTTATTACTTTTTTCAACTTTACTTTTATTGGAATGAATACACATTTACTATCATATGGCACATTATTGTTGAAATTAAAAATGGAAATGAAAAATGAAATGATGATGATGAAATGTAATGAGATCATAGTCCTCTAAAATAGGAAATTATTGCATCGAAATATCACTAATAAAAAGTTTCTGCAATAGTTTAGGTATTGTTTTGAATCAGTTACACTTACATAAATTACACTGAAAAAGTTGAATATTATTCAATATTAATTAATTAAAACTACAAATGTTTTATGAATTATTACTCAATACTTTTACAATCATTTGAAAGACTTCTGAACTACAAACCTGTTTATATAGTTTAAGGAATTTCCTGATTGAATTTGAGTTACAGAATTTATTTAATCTTAACATTAAATTAAATAAAAAAGAATGTTATGGAAGCAACAACTATTAATCTGATGTTCAATTAACACTTTTTTAAAGTAAAACGAAACTAAGTGTACTATCAGCTCTACTCTAATAGTACTTCCAGTACATTTCTTAATTTTAGAACCTATCCCAATAGTACTGCTTGCATTTTTATTTCAAAATCTAAAAAATACAGAATTGCAAGCACTTTTACATTAGAACCATTTCTTTCAGTACTGTTAGCACTTTAATTTTAGAATATTTTTTAACATCTATACACATATATATTTAGACAGTTGACTGATTTTGATGTACAGGAGTCTGATCTTGACCTTTTTTGTCCATGTATACACCGATAAATGACCCATCTTCATTAAATTTAGTCATATCAGCATCATCATCATAATCTCCCATCATACTGTCTTCGTCGCTTTCCAATGGTTTCACATCATCCGATAATGATACTTTGTCAAAAGGGGTCTTTTCTCCATCCCTGTATCAAAATAAAATAATTACTGTATTGATTGATTGATTGATTGGTGTTTAACTTCGATCGCTATTGGATATTACATGGCAGTCATTGTTTTTGGTGGAGGAAGCGAGAGTGCACCGAGAGAACCACCCACCTTCTGGAAGAAAACTGACAATCCTAGTCAATTAGGATTGGAGTGGAATGCACCTACCACATGTGGAGTTAGAACTCACAACCTCAGTGTTGACAGGCTAGTGATACAGTAGTTGAACTACTGAGTAGACCACTCGGCCATCAAGGCCCCCAATATTTACTGTAAGGTTTATAACTAAACAAGAAAGGATTTGAACACATTTCAGAATGATGGCTTAATCTTTCAAATTTAAAAAAAAAATACAAAGCAATAATTTCTGAATTTACATTAACCGTTACAGATATGCTTTTTCGGACATTTCTTGAATAAAACAATATGGACCAGAAGATATTTATATTATCCTGTTATTTACACATTTATAACTTTGTAAATTTTGAACTTAATTTGCAAAGAAGAAAATTTGTGAAACTCTTGGCATAATTTCAATGGTCTATATTATACTATGTTTGTAAATGTGGGCACCACTTTATTATAGAAGGCTCAGCATTGATATAACTACTAGATTGCAGTCTTATTTCAAGTATCTAAATAAAAATTAAATTACTTACGCCCTAGATAAATCTGAAAAGCCACTGTCCTTTAATTCTTGAGCCGGATCGTGTCCAGCTGCAACTTCCTTCTTATCAACTAAAAATAAACACATATGTACTTATAAATCTGACAACTAAAAATAGACATATAAAAAATTATAAATCTGACAACTAGTAAAAAACGCATTTAGAATTATAAATCTGACATTTAATATTCAAACACATACAAAATAAGAAATGATTGTAACAGGATGCTGTTACGAAGTCTCCCAAACGAAGCTCCCATAATTCGTAATTCCCAGGATCGCCTGACATTGGGCAAAGTCCAGTGAAAATTGGTTTGGTCCAGTAAAGTTATATGCATTAGTGATGCCTGGGGAATAACCCTGTATATCATTCAAATCATCTTGGCATGACAAACCATAATATATATGGTTTAGGGGTGGGGACCTCAACTATTTACAAGATATTAGAACTTTCTCAAATGGCAGGGGGTCGGGATGACCCCTGGGGACTAACCCTATATATCATTCAAACCATCTTAGCATGACAAACCAGAATATATATGGTTTAGGGGTGGTGATCTTGACCACTTACAAGATATTAGAACTTTCTTAAATGGCATGGGGTGGGGGTGACCCCTGGGGACTAACCCTGTATTACATTTGATGTGCTTTATCATGACAAACCAGAATATATATGGTCTAGGGGTGGGGATCTCGACCATTTACAAGATATTAGAACTTTTTCAAATGGCAGGGGGTCGGGATGACCCCTGGGGACTAACCCTGTATATCATTCAAACCATCTTAGCTTGACAAACCAAAATATATATGGTTTAGGGGTGGGGATCTCGACCATTTACAAGATACTAGAACTTTCTCAAATGGCAGGTGGTCGGGATGACCCCTGGGGACTAACCCTGTATATCATTCAAACCATCTTAGCATGACAAACCAGAATATATATGGTTTAGGGGTGGGGATCTTGACCACTTACAAGATATTAGAACTTTCTTAAATGGCATGGGGTGGGGGTGACCCCTGGGGACTAACCCTGTATTTCATTAAATGGGTTTTATCATTTAGAACATTTTCAATTAAAAAGATTGTGTCTATCACAAACGGTTTTCAATTTATACTCATTTGAAAATTTTTAAATATAAAATCCCATAGGGTTCTATAGTAATACCCTCTTTTCTTTTTGCCCCTCAAAGTACCCCTTTATAAACCCCATTGCACAAACAAAACCCTGATTGCACCACTAGACATGTTAGTCTAACATATTGTGAACCCCTAAGTTAATCTGACAAGCGGTTTTTGAGAACGGATGCGGACAAGTTCAAATTTAAAAGCGGCGGAAGAGGAAGAAGAAGAAGAAGAAGAATAATAAGAAGAACTGAGCAAAAACAATAAGTCTTCACAAACTTCGTTTGGGAGACTTAATTATAAATCTGACCACTAGAAATAAACAGTAAACACATATATGGAATTATAAAATTGACCACTTAAATAATCACATCCTGAATTTTAAAACAGAAACAGCATTTCACATTCTCATAGCATTAATCAATTATTTCATTTCACTCATTTCAAACATTTTGGAAACTAGTGAGAATTTATTTTCAAAACTTATAAAATTACTTTCTTATTAATATAAATAAACTCATAAACATGTAATCCATCTTCAAAGAATTTAAAGTATGAAGTAATTATTTAGCCTTCCAAACTATTGCCCTTTTCTCCAGTACAAGGTATAGATTATATTATAGAGCCTTGTTTAGGGATTTAAAGAGGGATATAGGATAGTGGATACTCTTAGACTAGGCTCTATATATCAGACAGTAACATACACAAAGGAATTACTGTAAATTCAGAAATTATTGCGAGGTTTTTATTAATGCAAATAATGCGACTGTTTGAATATCGCAATAAGAAGAACTCGCATTTTGATATCTGAAACATACATCTGTACGAAGATTTTCCTAAAATCGCAATAATAAATCTCGCATTTCTGTCCATTCTTCAAAAATCACAATAATAAATGCATGCAAAAATTTCTGAATTTAAAATTAACTCACTCACCTACCTGGATATTTCTCCTGTCTTTTTTGGGACAAGGAGAAAGTAACAGACAATGATGCCATATACATTGGCCTACCTGGATATTCTCCCCTTCTGTTACTGTTTAAGACATATATATAGGTAATAACCCTGCTTTCATGAAATTCATATATTCATGAATTAGGAAGAATATTCATGAATATTCATGAATATTCCAGTTTTATTCATGAGTTCGATTCCAGTGTCAAAATTATTCATGAATAAGAAGCATGAATAGACTGGAATATACATGAATTCTTAATAACTGTCTGAAGACAACCAAAAAGAATTGTTAAAATGCCTAAAGATTACTATAATGAAGTTTTTTTCTTTCTAAAACTAATTTGGGGACAAAAGAAACCTTTTTTTTGGACATGAATAAACATGAATAAACTTGAATGTTTGGACTTAGAATTTTTCTAATAGTCATATAACATGAATAAGGATGAATAATGATGAATGAAATTTGGACTTAAAATATATCTCGATTGTGTGACAAACATGAATAAGCATGAATAAAGCTGCATGATAATGACTCAGAATTATGAGTGACCAACTGCACTAATAATACCGATGAAAAATGTAATTTGTTCTAGGATTTTGTTGTTTATTTGGACTATTTTTGGCTGAGGAAATATGTTCAATAATTAGATGAAAAAAATCATGAATATTTCATGTGACATCAAGCCCTTACGTTTGATATTTTGAATGACCCCACTTAAAACTGCTGCTTTGAAAAATTGGATGCCCTTTTTTTAATGCCTCTCCCCAACTTATTGCTTCTAAAAATAAAAGTTGTCCTCTTTCAATGAAAAATTTGAATTATTATTTGAATGCACTTGATAGAATGGAAGTAAAGATGAAAAAAATAATTTTCAAAATATTTATATTTGAAGTGTTTTCAGGTTAAAAATAATTAAAAGTAATATTCTGATATGCATTTGCATTCAATTTGTTTTATTTATTTTTTTTTTAGAAAAAAAAACAATAAATTTAAGGAATATTTTGTGAAAAGGTGATAAAAAAGGGGAAGTAACTGTAACATTTTTGAAATATACAAATTATTTATGACATAAAGCAAAGGTTATTTGTGTTAATTAACAATGTGTTTGACACCAAAGCTGTCAGGTGAAGCCCTGCACTTAATGGGTCACTTAATTTGACAGTTTACACAGCTAGCTGAACTTCCTGTTGATGGAAGAATTACGAATTTCAGTTTGACAGTATTTCAAAGTCAGAAAAATGCCGAGATTTTCGCGATAAAAACGACAGGGAGCCCTAGAAACGCCAACGGCTGTTTTGCCAGACAAGCTGGATCGTTTCTGATTTTCTACCTGTTGTCCGGCATTTAAATAACATAGAAAAATTATCAGATCAATGATAGGCCAACGATCGCCATCGTAATACCTTGGTTCTCAACTTAGTCTTATGTAAACAAGTCATGACCACGTGGTTTTTAGTAATTGTACTGAACAGTCCGACCCTAGAAAATACCGTCCTAGATAATGCGGCCATTAGTTCATCCGCATGCACCCTGTGCCGATTAAATTAAAGGTTTTTTTTTCTTATTTTTAAAAACTGGCCAGTAATAAATACTTTTATACGACACCCTTGATTTATTTTTATAATACCGTTACGGGGACGGATCAACTTCTGGCCGATATAATATGGGGCGAGATTGTCACCTCGACGTTAGAGTACTCAATAAAGACGTCATAAAAATGTGATTACGCTGTAGCAAAATAGAAGATTCCATGTGAAGATGTTTTCAGATAAGTGCATTAAAAATTTAATTTAACATGTGTATATAATGAGATTATAAAATATAATTTATTGAGGAACTATGATTTTTTTATGGTTTGTTTTTTTTAGCAAATCAACATCAGAAAATCTGAAAGCATAAACCTGGGAACAGTATATCTAATATATATGTTCCTGCATAAACTGAAAAATATATTTATTTTTAACAACATTGAATAATCTTGTTGTCACATAACAGGCATACCTGGTAGATATGTAAAAATTTAATTGAATTGTGTGAATGGTTAGGGGACGACCATTTGATATTCTGGGGGGGGGGGGGGGGGGGGGGGGCAGGAGGATTTTGAAAATAAATAACTCAGCCTTGATAATCACAAAAATAAATGGTTTGTTCTGTGGTAGTTTGAAAATAAATTACCTGACTTGCAATGTATTGAAAATAAATAACTCAGCAGGTCTAATCGAAAGTATGAGATGGCACCAGATTCTTCATAAATTCATCTTGTTTCCAAAAAAAAAATAGGGAAACACTTCCCATATCTTTTAATAATAAAAGTATAAATATTATTTAAATATACTTGAAATGTCAGAAAATTGGTTTCATTTAACTTGAGGTTAATTGTCTCAGGAACACTTACCTCACTTTTATTAAATCAGGGCCGTAACTACATTGAGACAAATGCCTCATGTAGGAAATTTCAAAACCAAACGCTTGTCTCCATATCAAATTGTGTTCACCGTGAGTGCCTTGCAAGAAGTAAGTTCTGTTCTCCCTCAGACGTAGCCCCTGATTTTTCGGGATCAATGTTTCTTATTTATTTGTCTTTTGTTCATTGATTGCCCTTCTGTATTCTGTTAGTGTTGCATTCATTTTGTAATTTAGTAATTTTAGACTTAACTATGTGAATTACATTTTTGCTTTTAATATCATGCATATTTGTCTTTTGATGTTGTTCCTAGAAACTTAAGTCTTACACTGAATCTATAACGTGATTTTGCTTTGAGACCAAAATATTGTCATAAAATTATTAAAACAGAACTTGCATTTTCAGTTTAAGAAAGGGTCTGGGGAACACCCAGAAGGCATGATTTTGCATCATTTGTTCTATAGCTTCTTGGGCCTTCAGCGGTTCAAAAACCCTTCAAAAAAAACATGTTTGCCAATACTTTTAGAAGAGCCTTAGTTTCAACCAAACTTTAATACTGTGTATGTATGCAATACATGTATATGCATTCGGGGATACAAAAGATTCATTTCTGCAGAGGATAATAATTAATTCTGATTAAATGGTACATAATGACTTGACTATACATGAATTATTTATAATAAACAAATAATTTAAAAATTGTATGTTTTCGAATATTATAAATATAGTTGTGAAAAAAAATAATCAGACCCTGGCTTTAATGAAAATGAAAAATCTTGCTTCAATAGTGCAGAAAATAGATAATCTGTCCTCTTAGTTTACAAAAATAAATAACCGATCCCAAACAAATCCTCCTGCCCCCCCCCCCCCCCCCAGAATATCAAATGGTCGTCCCCTTATTTGGTGAAAATAATAAGTCGCTAGTTTTTTATCTTCAGGGGATAAAAAAAGAGGGAGGGTAATTAATTTGATTCCAAATGGCTACCAATGTATACTGTATAAACATGCAATAATATTTCTATTGAATTTATTGCTTCAAAATGTCTAGAACAATTGATTCTTTGTGGATTTTTTTGATACTTTTAGGGGATTAAATGATTAAATGGAGCTGCCAAATTTGAAAGTAAACGGATTGCATGCAGATTCCAGTTACCTTTACTCAGCAATACTAGTTGGAAGTACAGAGACAGCAAATTTAATTACAGAAAGGAGGAGAACTTCACATGTATCCTTTATATCTGACACACATTTTTAATATTATAATATTTGAAACTGAACAGCGAGCATCATTAAGCCATGGTGAAAACTGTGTATCTAAATACAATTAAGACAATGAAATGCTTGAAGGTGTTAGTGAACATGGGGAGGAGGGGTGGGGTGAGTACCATATTTAATTAATGGGTAATTTAACAATATAAGCAGCCATTAAAAATGGCAAACAAGTTCGCTAGTAGTACTAGTATCTATAATTTTGATGGAAGTTTAAGGATCTGACATTAAATACAAGTACATTTTTTTTTAATAGGAACTTGACAGCCATTGAAATAAGATATTAAACATGGCCAATACAATGTAATTCATGCCGCAATGTTTATATATACGTGACAGATTTGATACAACAAGGGCAATATTCATCTACCTTATAATGAGGAATATGCATTTAAACTAATAAAAGAAAATATTTGCAAAAGAACAAATTTGTGCATTAAAAATAGATTTTACTCAAATTTTTTAATTCCTTATAGAATACATGCAAGACATTAAGTCATTTTATTGGTCCTGAACTAAGGACATTCTCAGGATTATCCAAGAATTATCCCAGGGCCAACTTAATGCAAGCAAATCTGTAAATCCTGACATCAGGATAATTTCCTGAGACCAGGACCTGATGAATCCTAAGCACAGGATTATCACAAGATTCTTTACTATGATCATGATGATATTTATGGTCTGGATGGTTTCTGGATATCCCTGGAATATCCTTGTTCCAATACCATCCCATGTATAACCCTATCTCAGGATAAGGATTATCTCAAGATTGCCCTGGGATTTTTCCCAAGATTATCCTGCTGGGGATATCTTGTGATATCCTGACCCATTTTCACAAGGGTCAGTCACCGTCACCAGGGGCATTAAAGTGATTTTCTTAATTAAAATGTCTTTAAATATTTTAAATATTTTATATCAAGAATGCAAAAATAGCAAAATATATTTAGAACTGCATTTTAAAGGTCAAATCCTGAATTCCTGCAAAAATAAAAGCTCGAGAAAGACCTTTAGCCCCTCATATTTGTATTCATGGAATTCCAAATTTATTTCTACATTCAATATTCAAGAACATCTATTTCACATTCATGGTTATTCTAAAATATTCAAGGATATTTCACATTCATGGTTATTCTAGAATATTCAAGGATATTTCACATTCATGGTTGTTCTAAAATATTAATGGAAAATTACTTCACATTCATGGTTATTCTAAAATATTCAACCATTCAATACTCATGGACATCTTATTTCACAGTAATGGTTATCCTTAGTCAGTATTCCACTATCAATACTCATGGACATCCTTTTTCACATTCAAGAATATTCTGTAGATAAATATTCATGTTAATTCTTGGTTATTCAGTTCATACAATATTCATGTATATTCAAGGTGCCATTTAACATTCATGAATATTCATGAATATTCATGAATTGTAACCTTGAATATTCATGAATATTCATGAATATTATTCATGAATGTTCTAGAATTATTCTGGAATATTCATGAATAATTCCAGTTCAGGAAAGCAGGGAAAGGAGAAGAATAATTACTCGCAATAGATAGCTATTCAAGGGGAAATAACTCATTGCCCTCTATGAATATTGCCATCTAATTCTGATCAAGTCACTGGTCATAAAGAAACATGATAACTATACAACCCCCAATTATGGATAGCCTGTACAATGGAAGTAACTATTTGGCCTAGCTGGGTCTTTTCTCCTCTGATTAAGTTTCTGGCTATAAACTACAACCCTCCAACAGTGGAGAGTCTATAAAAGGGAAGTAACTCATTTACTGACCTGGATATTCCCCTCCTCTGTTTCTGTATAAGGTGCAGATGATAAAGAAGACAACAATCAGTAAAACTATTACTCCTAAAATAACTCCAATGATCCACAAGTCAAAACCAGCAGAGCTAATGATGGGGGCTTCTGAAAGTAGAACAATAGTGTAAACAAACAGCAGGTATATTACACGGGGGGGGGGGGCTTCTATAAATAGTGAAACCAAAAGGGGTTACAAAGGGGTTTCTAGTTTCTATAAAAAAAACTAATTGCTTTCATTTAAAAGTTCAATATACTTAAATAAAGTTTCTAAGATTTCTAGATTTAATTTTTTTTCCTAAATGTAATCTTTTTATTTATAGTATATCAGTCACTCAATTGGCTTAAAGATTAAGTTGTGATTTTGCAACTGTAAGCAATGAATAGAGTCTAAATAACAAGGGGAAAATAATTTGAAATGTAATAAGCACATAAATTAATGGAAATTTGAAACCCCATTTCAAATATTTTGATGTTCATTTGGTAAAAGCTTACCTCAAACTGTTTCCTACATCAACATGCAATGTTGCGTTTATTACAGGCAAGATAATAATAGGCAGATTTTATCAATCTGTCAATACAACTGTCAATCAAGTGTCAAATTAAACATATAATGATATGAAAATGATGTGTGAAATAATAAAATGTAAAGTTACATTCTAAATATTAGGGAATGAAATATATCTATGCATACACTGTGTATTTGTCACTTACTATTGAGGATAAACTTATTCGAATATTTCAAGTTTTCTTTTTCTATCATATCAAATTCCAATTTTTCCAAATTCATGAAAACATAAAAGATAACTTATTTGAATGATTCCATCCATGATAAAATTGTAATTTATAGTTATAGTTGAATCTTATTTACTTTGTTGCACCTACATATAAAAATAAGAAGATGTGGTATGATTGCCAATGAGACAACTCTCCACCATAAAACCAAATGATGTAGATTTATGCAACTATAGGTCACCGTACCACTTTTCAACAATGAGCAAAATCAATCCTGCATAGCAAGATATATATTATATGTTTATTAATAACACTTACTGGGTGCAGGTTTAATGTTGCTCGTAACCTCAAAGCTTCTCATTTCCCAATCATGTGTATGTGAAATGTTGACTCTGTAAGTTCCGATGACAGCTCTGACCTTGTCATCATCATTGTCTTCATCTGCCTTGGCTGGATTGATGGTCAGATTGGTCATGTCTAAATTAAAGCTAGCAAACGGCTTACTCATCAGTGTATCGTGATCGTAAACCGTGACGTTGTCAGCTCCCAATAGAGACCACTTATAGATAAGTTTTGGTACTGATGGATCTGTGGTAGCACTAAATGCCATACTAAATGGTTCAGGTGCATCTATTTCCAACTGAGCTGGTGTAAGGACTTGAACCGAAATCGGCTCTGAAGTACAAAAGAAAAGCTATGAGACCAAGGAAAAAAAACATAAAAAATACCTTTTATATCAAACAATTATTTATAGAATAACTAATCGAAGAATTTAAATAGAGAAAAATATTCAACGAGTGACCGATCAACACATTAATTCACGAATGCGCATAGCGCATGAGTTAATTATCAGTGTTGTTCGGTCACGAGTTGAATATTTTTCGATATTTGAATTCTTTGATTAGTTATTCTTTTTATTACATTGGCAAATGGCTTTTTTTAATAAAATTAATGTAGAAAATGTAAGGAACTATATGTTTTTTCTACGCATTCACAATATGTTTTGATCCGACGTTATCGACGTCTTGACAACGCCTATTGTTGCATGACGTCAGAGAGTGAAATAACCACGTGAAATTATCGGTTTTTATTTAACTGGGAAATCAATGTAATTCATTGCTACCAATGTAATAAATTTAAATAAACACCTACTGTATAGTTCATTTACTTTTGTTGGTGACAATTTTTCACGGATTTAGGAAAATTTGCATTTTTGTGGATATCTTAATTCATGGTTTTGACAAATTGTGCATACAAGCATATAGAAAATTTGTAATCATTTAAATACCACCTGTACACACGAAATCTATAAAAATTGGTATCCCAAGAATAATAATGAATCCACAGTCTTTGATACAATCTGTTATTTCTATCATATGCATAGAACATATGCCACATGGGGCTAGCTATTATAAATTTTCATAAAACTGATTACTACTTTGAAGTATGCACCATTTTTAATTATTGTACTGTGAAAGTACTTTTATTCATGGGTATCGATTTTCATGGTTTGAGCAAAAGGTACATGTTCGTGGGTTCTTAAATTTGTGGATTTTTGTTTTCTGAAAAATAAATCGAGTGAAGAATTTGAAGCCATCACAGAACGAAGATTCTTAAAAATAACAATATGTTGTTTTATAATGATTTGTGAGACATTGCAAATTACAATTTTCATTTTCACTTAATTGTTCATCTTTCATTACTGACAACATTCATCAAATTTAATAAAATTTGTGCTTTCTGAAATAAGCTGATTCATCTATGCTTACTCGATTGGAGGAAATTGCAAAGTAATCATTTTGATTGTTGCACATATGTAATCAGAAGTGATGCCTATAACTAACCCCAGATTGAATGTTCAATAGATAAATGATCAGCAAAGGTGTTAATTGGGCCATAAACATGTCAGTGATAGAAAACAGTTACATAAAAAATGCTACAAATGTACTTTGAATTGTAGAAGTAATTCTTCTGAAATAAAAAGGCAAGCCCAATATGATTTTTTTTTTTTTTTTTTTAATGAGAATTATGAAGAGATAATTGCCCGGAAGTGTAAACCTCATTGATCAAAACTTATTTTTCATGAGAATTAAATGGTTAAAGTTGTACAGTTTAGGTATTTTTTAATGATTAAATGGGTAATGTCCTGTCTGAAGTTATATATATTATAGTTCAAAGTGCGTTTCCAGATATTCAATGTATTCTCTAGATTATATGCTCATATATGTGCAGTCAAACCTACATGGGGATCTTTCCTTTCAAAACGTCATAATTATTTAGACTACGATCTTTTCATGTCTTGATTTGGACAACAGTTATTATATTTCGGTGGACACTTAAATTTGTGGATAAACTCATCCATGAAAACCAGGAACATTGGCACCCCACAAATAAAAGTACTGTCATAGTATTCAACATAAAACTGATAACAACATAGTGTATCGACACGTTTCTATTGTTGAAGACTGTATATTGGCCTCTTTTGATTATTTTTATCATTGGTTTGTCTTTCTTTGTCTCCCCAACACTCCATTTTTTTATAAACAGATAAATATATCTCAGTTAAATAAATACAACTGGCTATAATATAAAGGTACATTCAAAAGAGATAAACAAGAAGTAAGATTAAAAAAAAACCTGTTCTACCAGGAAAACAGACAGTCAAAAGGTTACCGTAAATTCAGAAATTATTGCTATGTTTTTATTATTGGCAATAATGCGACTGGGTGAGTATCGCAATAATGAGAACTAGCATTCTGATACCTAATAAATGCATATTATCCTGAGGTCGTAGAAATTAATCTCGCATTTTACTCCACTCTTTAAAAAATTGCAATTATAAATGCGCTCAATCATTTCTGAATTTATAGTATATTATTATCCTTACCTATAACCCTTAGAAAAGCATCAGCGTAACTTGTAGCTACAGCATCATCACCATTTACATCAATTATAACGTTAGAAGTTTCACACATAATATTACACGAGTCACCTGGGTTCTGTACATTTTTTATGGTAAGAATTGTTCCATCATCACTTAACTGATACTTCTGTGAAGAACTGCTGCCAACTATAAAGTTCAAAGTTCAAACAAAAACTATAAAAACACATTTTTTTTTCAGATTTCAGATGAAATGTTTTATTAGTGAAGATATTTAAAAAATTAATGCTACATCCAAAAATTATCATAACAGCATTGCAAAATTGCAAGAAATTCATATTTTACAGAAACATGCTGAAATGTCTCGCCTTCTTTACTAACCATTGATTTTATGTTGATAGTCCTAAAAACAAAGCTTTACTACAAGTAACACATAAACTTAACATGATCCAAGAAAATGAGGTCAAGGTCAGATAAACCAAACGAGAAATACATGTACACCTTACAATCATTCAATAAACCAAACATAGTTGACCTATTGCTTATTGTTTCTAAGAAACAGTCTTAAACAAGAAAACTTAACATTGACCAATGAACCATGAAAATAAGGTCAAGGTCAGATGAACCATGCCAGACAGACATGTACACCTTACAATCAATTTAGGCATTAAATATAGTTGACCCATTGCTTATAGTATCTAAGAAACAAACTTAACCATGAAAACGTAACATTGACCAATGAACCATGAAAATGAGGTCAAGGTCAGATGATACCTGCAAGACAGACATATACACCTTACAATCCTTCCATACATCAAATATAGTTGACCTATTGCTTATAGTTGAAGAATAACAGACCAAAACACAAAAACTTAACACTGAGAAATGAACCGTGAAAATGAGGTCAAGGTAAAATAAAACCTGTGAGACTGACATGTACATCATAAAATATTTGCATACACCATTTATAGTTGACCTATTGCATAAAGTATTAGAAAAAAAGACCAAAACTTAAAAAATTAACTTTGACCACTAAACCATGAAAATGAGTTCAAGGTCAGATGACACCTACCAGTTGGACATGTACACCTTACAATCATTCCATATACCAAATATAGTAGACCTACTGCTTATAGTATCAATTATGGACTTGACCACGAAAACTTAACCTTGTTCACTGATCCATGAAATGAGGTCGAGGTAAAATGAAAATTGTCTGACGGGCATGAGGATCTTGCAAGGTACGCACACACTAAATATAGTTATCCTATTACTCATAATAAGAAAGAAATTAACATTACAAAAAATGTTAGACTTTTTATTCAAGTAGTCACTGAACCATGAAAATGAGGTCAAGGACAATGGACATATGACAGACGGAAACTTCGTAACATAAGGCATCTATAAACAAAGTATAAAGCATCCAGGTCTTCTAGCTTCTAAAATATTAAGCTTTTAAGAAGTGAGGTAACGCCACCGCCGCTGGATCACTATCCCTATGTCGAGCTTTCTGCAACAAAAGTCTCAGGCACGACAAAAATTACATAAAAAAGAGTATTCATCAAAGTTTTGTAACTTGCCAAAAATTGAGGGGCACAGCTCCCCTCTTCTCTTATAGTCATTTTCTGGGGGGGAAATAAATATTTTTTACTGCAGAAAAATCATATTTAGTACTAGAAAATTTTTTTTACAATCAAGCAATACAATAATTCCAGAAAATACACATTACTTTTTTTATATATTTCAACTTTTGATCAATAGAATTTATCACTTTTTAGACAGGAATTCATGCTAACCCTCAGTTTAAAACTGTGCCCCTCAGGGCTTTGTTCCTTTTTGCTCAATTTTTCCTTTGAGCTCAATTTTATAACAACTCTAAGAGAGGAGGAAAGACCAGAAATAGCACTATAAATAGATTGTTTTTTTCTGGGTAATCAGCCATTTGACACAACATTAAGCTTTTTTGCTCGTTCCCTATGCTCACTAGCATTAAAGGTTCAAATTGTGGCTTGCGGCTGATATCTTATGATATCAATGTGTAGAAATCCTGATATTCTATATACCTGTCTCTGGAAGACAAACAACTTACTTTGACTAGGGTTCAATACCACGCCATTCCTTCTCCAAATTGGCTTTGATGGAGGATCCTCACGTATCATGGATACCATGTTACATCTAAACACAGCATTGTCTCCACGTGGGATAACTTGAGATTCAAAAATCTGACCTTGGGGGAATCTAGGTTTTGCTATTGTTAAAATAATAAAAGTGCACATCATGATATAATACAAATACACTCAGCTGCTTTGGTGAGAAGAAAATGAAACCAGTAATTTGACTACAAAACTTTTTAAAAATGATTAACATATAATTGTGTTATTCCCTCCTGAACTAAGTAGGGAAGATATCGTAAAATAAAGGGATGTTAGTATTTATGATGAAACAGCATGTATATTTCATTACTCCAAATTATTAACAAGCCTAAAAATTTAAATGGTCCTTTTAAGGCCTTAATTATGAACAAAACCAGACATGAAAATAACCAGATATATATGGTAATGTTAGAAATAAGTCTTCAATTCTATTGTAACAGCTCAGACATCTAAAATTATTAAGGTTTTTTCAACTCTAAAAATCATATAAAAATGGTAATTTAAAATGTTTGTTAAAAACAAAATAAAAAAACCTTTATTTCTCAGAAAATAATAAATAATTTATCTTTTACATGTTGCTAATATATGACTTTAATAATATGAATACAAAAAAAGGAGATGTGGTCTGACTGACAATGAAACAACTTTCACCAGTGTTCAATTAAAGATGGATGTAATCAATCAAGAACATTGTTTTAGTCTAGTGCGTGTTCTGTGTAATGAACTAAATAATACACCATATCCATTTTGTGTGTGTAGAGGTATTTTGTGTAATGAGTATAAAACATCACATCCCGTTTTCCTTTACACCACTAACCATTCATTCTGTGTTGAAGGCCATACTTTGACCTATAATTGTTTACTTTTTACACATTGTGACTTGGATGGAGAGTTGTCTCATTGGCACTCATGCCACATCTTCTTATTTCTATTTAGATTCAACATGGATTGTTTTTAAAAAAAAAACATTTTGATGCATTTAACATAAAAACTTTATTTACTGAAAAAAAATGATAAACAAATAAATGGTACAATACTTACATGTAACATTGAGATATAACCTGGCTTCAACTCTAGCCAATATGTTGGTTGCTGCGCAGGTGTATGTTCCCTCATCACTGACACTTAACTGTTTAATCTTAAGGTTTCTCCTTACATTTACGTTTCTAAATTCGTACTTGTTGCTTGGCTGTATTATGGTGTTTTCAGGTGAATACCACTCAATATCTGGTAATGGACTGGAATACATAAATTAACATTTTATAAAATATAATGATGGAATTTTGTATTTCTCCATTTGTACAAATAGCTCAAAAGAAACAACTAGCAATGTATGAACTCATAATAATGTATCAGTATTTTGTGCATATCGTAGACTAAAAGTCATCTAATTCACTACGGAGATGACCTCCTTAAACTGCCAACAGTCTTATGACCTGATATAAACATAAATATAAATAGACAGATGTGTAATGACTATTTTTCAAGGTCTGTTTGATTTCATGTTTTAGATCCCCCCAAAAAAATAAATCATTGTTATACCTGTATATGAATGATTTTTTGTGGAACGAATCAGACAACAAAATGTTTTTTTTTTCTGGTGGCTACCTCGTTTTATTTTTTAATTTTGACGTTATTTTCATTTGAATAACAGAAAACAGTTAGCAAGTGTGTAACCCAGATCATTTAAAGGTTGCATGAATACAAATACAAATGAGTTAAAATATTGACTTGCAAGCCAATAATACATTTGCAATGTTTTTGAGCTTATTTTGACAATATTGAACCAAACTGGCAGCCATTAGCGAAATGTTAATTAAATTTTCCACCTCATTTTTAGTCTTAATTGTAGTTATAATGCTTATTCTAAAGGTTTCTCCATTGACCCTTTTTGAAAAAAAAAACATTGACATAATGGCAAAGTGTTTTGAATTTAGCCCCCTCCTACAAAAAAAACTAGAGTCTCTAAAGAGCATGTGTAGCTCACATTGGTCTATGTGCATATTTAACAAAGGACACTCTCCAACATTGTAGACGAGAATAGAATTCATGACAACAATCTCTGTTTTGTTGATCTTGTATTGCTGATCATTAAATCTGTTTAGTTTCTCTCTACCTTCTTTAGTTTTTGCTCAAAACACAAAAGAGGGTAAAATAAATCCTCCTTTAAGGGCAATCACACCATTAAAGAGTGACAGTCTACTAACTATATCAACAAAATTTGACTTGTTAGTAGATCTTGCCTTGCTGACCTTTTTGTGATTTAAAGTGTTTATTTATCTATTATAATTTTTATCATATAAGTTAAAACCCTCAAAAAATGGTAAAAATCGTCATTAAAGGGCAATAACTCCAATAAGGAGTCATCAGACGATTTCTTCCATTTGTCTTAAAAGTAGATCTTGTCTTGCTGAACATTTTTGCTTATTTAAGTTTCTATCTATCTATTATAATTTTTATGATATAAGGCAGAATGCAAAAAACCAAAAAATTGGTGAAAATCGTCATCAAAGGACAATTACTCTAATTAGGAGTTGACTGACGATTTCCACTATGATGACTTGTTTGTAGAACTTGTTTTACTGAATATTTTTGCAATTTAAAGTTTCTCTCTATCTATTATAGTTTTCAAAATAGGCAAAAATGAAAACAAGAGTGCACACACTGAAATGTCTCGCCTACTATACTGACCATTGATTTTATGTTGATAGTCCTACATATTAAGTTTTACTACAAGTAACACATTAACATTTATGATCCAAGAAAATGAGGTCAAGGTCAGATAAACCAAGCCAGAAATACATGTACACCTTTAATACAATCATTCCATACACAGAATATAGATGACATATTGCCTATAGTATTAAAGAAACAGACCAAACCATGGAAATTCTATATTGACCAATGAACCATGAAAATGAAGTCAAGGTCAGATGAACCCTGCCAGACAGACATGTACACCTTAAAATCATTCCATGCATCAAATATAGTAGACCTATTGCTTATAGTATCAAAGACCAATGACCAATGAACCATGAAAATGAGGTGGTCAGATGATACCTGCCAGAAAGACATTTTCACCTTACAAGCATTCCATACACCAAATACAGCTGACCTATTGCTTAAAGTTTAAGAAAAACAGACCAAAACACAAAAACTTAACATTGAGCAATGAACCGTGAAAATGAGGTCAAGGTCAAATAAAACCTGCCAGACTGACATGTACATCGTAAAATATTTCCATACACCAAATATAGTTGACCTATTGCATACAGAATTAGAAAAACAGACCAAATCACAAAACCTTAACATTGAGCAATGAACTGTGAAAATGAGGTCAAGGTCAAATAAAACCTTCCAGACTGACATGTACATCGTAAAATATTTCCATACACCAAATATAGTTAACCTATTGCATACAGTAATAGAAAAACAGACCAAAACAATAAAACTAAACTATAACTACTGAACCATGAAAATGAGGTTAAGGTCAGATGACACCTGCCAGTTGGACATGTACACCTTACAATCATTACATACACCAAATATAGTAGACCAATTGCTTATAGTATCTGAGATATGGACTTGACCACAAAAACTTAACCTTGTTCACTGATCCATGAAATGAGGTTGAGGTCAAGTGAAAACTGTTTGACAGGCATGAGGACCTTGCCAGGTACGCACATACCAAATATATTTATTTTTTTCAAGTAGCCACTGAACCATGAAAATGAGGTCAAGGACAATGGACATATGACAGACGGAAACTTAACATCATAAGGCATATATATACAAAGTATGAAGCATCCATGTCTTCTACCTTCTGAAATATTGAGCTTTTAAAAGTTAGTTAACGCCGCCGTTGCCGCATCACTATCCCTATGTCAAGCTTTCTGCGACAAAAGTCGCAGGCTTTACAAAAATGGTGAAATTTGTCATTTAAGGCAATAACTCCTATAAGAAGTTGTCTGACAGTTTTGATGTATATGGACAATTGGTAGAACATTCTGAACATTTTTGCTCCAGTCAAATTTTCTCTATTTATAAAGGTTTTCAAAATAATAGACAGAACTTACATTTTACCCCTATGTTCTATTTCTAGCCATGTCGGCCATCTTGGGGCCCAGTAGTTTCAGAGGAGAAGTTTTTTGTAAAAGTTAACCGACGACGCAAGACACCGAATGCCAAGTGATGAGAAAAGCTCCAGGAGAGCTAAAAATACAAAAACTAAAATAAACAACTGGATCATGAAAAAAATCGTAAGGGTTCCGCAGAACACAAGTGTCTCGCCTACTTTTGCTGTTAGTTGCAGGCTCAACAAAAATGGGAAAAAAATTATTAAAAATTTTCCTCTAGATACTATCTTTTGATTGTAAGAAGCTTCTGTCCAAGTTTGGTAAAAATCCAGGATGGCTTATGAATCTAATAAATGTTTTAAAAACTTTAACTGCAGACGTTATGTAATGTTAACTGGAAGAAAAACTAAGTCCATTTGTATGTAATCTTAACTGGAAGAAAAACTAAGTCAATTTATAAGTAATATAACGGAAAAACAGGAAATAAATGTTTACAAAATGTCCTTCTAGATACTAGCTTTTGATCATAAACAAGCTTCTGTCCAAGTTTGGTACAAATCCAGGATATTTTAAGAAAGTTATTAAAATTTTAAAAACTTTAACCACAGAGTGAATGTAATGTTAACTGGCAGAAAAACTAAGTCCATTTACAGTCGAACCTCGTTGTGTCCAACTCGGTTGTGACGAAAACTCGGATGAGTCGAAGTAATTTCTCGGTCCCGGTAAAATTCCCATTTGATTAATGCATAATTACCTCTGATGAGTTGAACTCGGTTGAATCAAATACTCGGTTATGTCGAGTAAATTTTATAGTCCCGTCGATATAAAAATTAATGTAAATTGACCCCGATGTCTCGAAGTTCGAAAGTAAGAATTTTCGAAAGATGCAGACCTAATGATAAAAACTCAAATCGGATGTATTTCTTATGTAACTTAATCATTTTCAAAAGAGATTAAAGCTGAGTAAACATACTTGTTTGTATAACAGTTAAATTGACATGTTTATGGTTGCCGGTAATTAACACCTTTGTTGATTGTTTAAGCGGAACTTTAGTGTGTTGAACATATTTCACATGAGATAAAAACGAAACGAATTTAAATGACACTAGCCGAGATTAAATCAATCGTTAGAATTAAAACTCATTAATTACATTAAATAAAGGATTAAGACAATTATGATAAATTCATGATAATTTAATGTACAGCAGAGACCCTTATCAGAGACGAATGATTTCATAATTTATAGTGACTGACCTTTATAAATATTTGTGTAGACTATTGATTTTATTTGTGCATGATTTGTATCTGTTCTTGTGTGCTTGATTATTATGAAGGACCAACAATGGCGATTGCATACACAATTATAAAGTGTGTCATATAGAAAAAAGGCACACTGTTCAAAGTATCTAGTTTACGCAAATCTCATACCGTATTTCTTGCATTACAAATTTTTGACAACACACTCGACCTCTGATGAGTCGAACCTCTGATGAGTCGAACCTCGGATGAGTCGAATACTTTGGTCCAGTCTTTTCGACTTCGACACAACGAGGTTTGACTGTATATAAGTAAAATACAGATAAACAGGATTTTTTTTTTACAAAATTTACTTCTGGATACTATCTTATGATCACAAACAAGCTCCTGTCCAAGTTTGGTAGAAATCCAGGATATCTTAAGAAAGTAATTAAAATTTTAAAAACTTTAACCACAGAGTGAATGTAATGTTAACTGGCAGAAAAACTTAGTCCATTTATCAGTAAAATACGGATAAACAGGATTTTTTTTTTTACAAAATTTACTTCTGGATACTATCTCATGATCATAAACAAGCTTCTGTCCAAGTTTAGTAGAAATCCAGGATAGTTTAAGAAAGTTATTAAAATTTCTAAAACTTTAACCACAGAGTGAATATTTGTAGATGCTGCAGACGACAACGACGACGACAGAATGTAGGATCGCTATGTCTCGCTTTTGCGACAAAAGTTGCATGGCTCGACAAAAACAAGAATGTGTCCATAGTACACGGATGCCCCACTTGCACTATCATTTTCTATGTTCAGTGGACCGTGAAATTGGGGTCAAAACTCTAATTTGGCATTTAAATTAGAAAGATCATATCATAGGGAACATGTGTACTAAGTTTCAAGTTGATTGGACTTCAACTTTCAGCAAAAACTACCTTGACCAAAAATTTTAACCTGAAGTGGGACAGACAGACGGATGATTCGAAAATCTATTCATTTAAAGCAGTACATGAGTACTTACTATCCAGAAAAGACACATTGTAGTTCCACCTCTCCACCTAGTAAACCTTTCACATCCTGGCTGAATAGAACCTTTGGTTTAACCTGTGTAGGATTAGTTACTGAAACAGAAAGTACAATTCTATAAGTCACTAAACAGTATAGTGGTTTGGTATTTATATAGGACAATTACCTAACACATGTGTTCCTTTGTTAAGGTTGGTGGCCATTACAACAAAACATTATACCTTACATGTTGTTAGTTTATAACTTAGATCAATATTCTATGTATGATTATCTTTGAAAAGAGACTATATAAAGTCATATAAAGTCATAAAAGCATTGTGAAACCTTTTCTAAGATAATTGTAAAAAAAAAGTATGTTCATTTGTTTTCCCAGTATCAAATTAATATAAATGCAAGCACCTGACCCCTAAGATACAAATAATTAAGCTTATTTTAGGAGAGTCTATGCAGGTCACTGTGTTGTCGATTTGCTTTAATTATTTTTTTATTTTTTTTTATCTTTTCGGTTTTCCAGTTCAAATTGTCATACATATAAATACTAGGAGTGAATAGGAGATGCACATTTCCTTGCTGCTTCAGATAATGCTTGAAATTTCTTTAAGCAAGAAGAAGTCTCAATACCCCACTACAGTGGATTTATCTATTTTGTTTGTATCAATTTCGTGAATTGACTGAAAATTGTATTTTCATAGATATTTGATTTCATGGTTATATGCTATAGTCTGCTTACAAAAAATAGAAAATGTATCATTTGTTGAACATATAAATTAGTGGATTACCTAAGCAACCAAATTCAGAAAAATTGGTACTTCAAGAATAGTAATGAATTCACAATATATCAAATTAAATTTTCTAATTTTTATATACCAATTCATTCAAATTAGAGAAAACTGGATTAATTAATGATTTGTGTTTTAGCCAAAACACAAACAAAGCAAACTTAAGAATAAAAACTTCACTTAAAAGTTGTAATTTTCTTCAAATATTAGGGAATGAATATAAATACCCCGTACATCAGCTCTCAAGGTAATAGCACACAATTTTTCAAAGATAGTGGACATGAGTCGAAACACTGCAACTTGGTGAACATGTGGGCACTGTGTATAACTGTAACCTCGCAGAAATCAATTAAAAGCAAGAGGAAAAATACCTCTTAGTAACAAATTAAGACACTAACTTCAGGGTGTAAATCATTTTATTGTTAAAAGTTTTAGTCAGTACATTCAATTTCCATAGCAACAGTTGAAGATAGTGATTAATGTATGTCAAAGTAATTTTTTTGTTATGAAATGGCTGAAATTAAAACAATGGGAAAATTACGGAGCAATTATGTGCTTTAGGTTGTTTGTTTAAAAAACTCATGTGCTAAGATGATGATTTAAAGAGAGATAAACTGTTGAGGAAACGAAAGATGGAAGTTATTGGAAGGTGAAGTGGACAAAATCAAAATGTATTTACTTTGTCCTGAAAAAGAAAGAACAGGAATGTAAACAATATTTAATGAATTTATTTGAAATTGTTTCTCAGCAACTGTTCTGAATTATCTGGATTATATTGTATTTATTAATAAAACACTTAAAATACAGATAATAAAACAAACTGGCATCATTGCCAGTCAGACCTGGGGTAATCAAAAAAGCAATTGTAATTAGCTGTAATTAATTACAATTTTGAAAGTAATTCAATGTAATGTGTAATTGAGCATATTTTCAATTACATGTTATTGAAAGTAATGATTTACATAATGTTTTTGCCATGTAATTATGAATTACTTTTCAATTACTTTGAATTACATTTAAATAATTGCATGGAAATTTTAAACAGTTTTGGCTTTTCTGATGCAACTTGTAAATTTTATTTTTTATTACATTTAGTATGCACTTGGTACTATGATTTTTTTGTGATGTAATTAATGACATTTAAAAATCAATGTAATTGAAATGTAATTAATTCAGTGTTCCTGCCTGCCCTAAATAGAAGGGCGGCCCGCCCTTGGTGCCCTTACCCCCGCCCTTCTGCCCTCCAAAGCAAAAGAATGCACCCCTCTGCCTTTTCAAAAAAATAAAATTTCCAAATGTCATGCCTATCGGCGTTTCCGGTAAAATTGTTACCTGATTGTGTAACACTAATTAACTGACAATGGGATTAAGTTAAATACCTAATGCCTTTGGCAGTTTTATCACCTTTGTTAATGATTGTTTACTGCTAATTAGTGGATTTAAGATAATTGAACAAATACTAGATATTTAATACAGAATTAAATGTCCACATGTTATCCATTTGTAATGTTTATGTACAGCATGTACACCTGAAAAAATTTATTTCAGTAGGCATAACATAAAAAATAAAATCTAAAACAATTTTAAAGGCATACACAGTTTTGAGTAAATTGGTAAAAATGTTTTGTTTCATAACCATGAGTATGAAATTTAAAGAAGAATCAAAGAAATTTGTACTTTGAACATAACAAGATTGCACCACTTCCTGTTTTACTTCTTGTATTTTATAATCCTCCTTTTATAGGAGCACTCCACAAATGCTTTTATTTTTAACAATGATGGAGAAAAAGTAACTGTTTATACCTTCTGCAATATATGCAATATATTATTGCATCAATATAATATGATCATCTCCTGTCTCACCTGTTATATTTTTAAAACTCCTTACTTAGGAGCACTTTGGTGTGCACTTAAAAATACTTTTTTGTAACAATTGAAATGATAATAAATAACTTTAATAACAATATACTATAGGGGGATTGATCAAGCAATTTAAATGTAGATAATTTAATTGATTAAACATTCAATTTTGCATGTATAACTCCATCTTTCAAAACTAATTGTTTATTTTTATAGACTGGTATAAGTTATAAAACATTGAAATTTCTGATGATTATTTTCCTTACCAAATGTACAAGTTTGTTTAGATTAACATCAAAATGATATGCTTTGCTTCATGGTATGATAATTTGATAAAAAAATTCTTACTGGAACCAACATCAAGAACACATTAATTTCTGAATATGGTTTAAATACAACTAATGTTCTCCAGCTGAGCCTAACAATATTCAAGGTAATTTATACACTGTCCAACAGTGCCCTTACAATCTGGGTTATTACGCTAAAGTGCCCTTTCAGACAACTAGCACCCTTCTGCCCTGAGATTCAAGCTGGAACACTGTAATTACTTTGGCATGTAATTGACCCCAGGTCTGTTGCCAGTGAGACGTGAGACTAGTATCTAACAAAGACCAAAAGTAGGAGAGTTGAAATATATAGGCTTAAGAGCACTTACAATGCAATTTTCCTTATAAATAATATTTCAAAGGGCCACAATTCTTGTAAAAAAAGTTCATCAGCTCTGATTTTGAGCCTTGTACGAGACATTGCTCATATAAACCTTTGATATAAATTTGATTAAAATCTAGCAAGAATTGCACACATTAGGGTGCTTACAATTCAATTTTCCATAAAAATTAATATTTCCAAGGGCAAAAACTCTTTTGTTGATTGGCACTGATTTTATAAACTGTCTGAGACATTGCTAGTATCCTTCGATATAAGTTGATAAAAAAAAAGTGAGAACGCTTACTTAACAATTTTCCATTATATAACTAATATATTCAAGGGATTTAACTCTCTTAAAATTGTTGATCAGCACTGATTTTTGAACTTGTCTGAGTCATTATATATATATATCTTTGAAATAGGTTTGATAAAAATCTGGCAAGAATTGAGTTTGCTTACAAGACCAGACAGACTGAGGGAATCAGAGATTTTCGTTGTCCCCCTCAATGCGTTGCACAGGGGACTACTAAGGGAGACTACAGCTGTATGTAATGGACTAACTAATTAGAATACTAAACAAAAGCATTTTTTAAAGTAAATGACAATTTTATATGTGTCCGACCAGTCTACATGTTTGTGAGATAATGTAAAACATCACCAATCTCTACAAGTCCAAAACCAAAACAAATGTTACAACTCACCTGGCCTCTCTGTTACAATAAATTATCATATTCAGTAATTTCAGAACTTTTTAGTCCATTTAGATAAACAGCTGCACAAAAAGTGCATGATACATCCATCTTGTGCATATTGAAATTGTTGGGAAAATATAATGGAATATTCAAAAGTGAGAAAAATGGCTTGGAGAAAAACTTGCATGAAGATATATTTCACATTTAAATGATGCTGTAAATATGATTGTAAAAAGTCCCATAACTCTACAACAAATCAGAAAATTTTACAAATTAAAACGAGTTTACAAAAACCAATCCCAACCATAGGGTACAGTTTGTAGTAATTCGATCTAATTTGATAACATAGCTAGTTTCTGACATGTAAGATAATTGTCATAAATCTAACAGTTAAAATACCATAAAATCTGGGATGACAGTTCAAAAAGAAAAAACTTAGAGTATCTTATTTAGACCAATTATGTAAAGTTTCAAATAAATCAATCCAGGCAAACTCGTTACAGTACAACATGTAAAAAATTACTTAAATCTGACAGTTCACCTTTCTAGCTTTTACTCTTATATTTCTGTAACTATATACTTGTTTTGTCAAATGATACACTCCAGTGCTTGTTTTCCTATCAATTGTAAGAACGTGCATGCAGAGTGAAAGAATTTATGAACATTAAAAGTTTATTTTCTGATGCTAGGGCTATAACGAAAATCTTTTTATGAGCTAATAAACCAAAAGCAAGCTATACCATTTTATCAATAGGTTTTGTTACAATTTGTATTTTGGCGTAATTTCACGTCATTACTGACCTGTGCCTATACTTTGAAATGTTGAACCATCATCTAACATCATGTTGATAGAGCAAGTTGCAGAGATGATTGATCAATCAAATTAGTTTTGACAGAATGTTTAGACTAAGTTAAGATTTATCTAAATACCTTTTTGGACTGTCATAATGACATTGCCACCTTTGTAGAATGCTTTCATTAGTTCATTGTTCATACCACATGCGTAGGGATTGGCTGCTGTGGATTCATCACTAAGTTCAACATACAGGAAATGTAGGGTACCTATAAACATAAAACAAGCAACTAATTTTATTCCCAATATAAACTGTTGACACAGAGATATGTCTCTCCTGTATATAATATTGAAAGTAAAATGCAAATGTTCAGTTTAAAATGGCAATACTAAGTATTTAGTATTATATGTAAATTATGCAAAATACAACAAAAACATGACTGAAGGAACAGGGCCAAATAATTTCTGAGATATCAGATGTCCCAATGCTAATACATCTGCATACCAAATATCATTGACTGTGTCAGTGGTTCCCCTTAAACTGTGGTTCCCTAGCGCCTTCCAAATATTTTTGTTGTTCCTGCAGCACTAACATTGGCACACAGTGCCTTAAAAGATAATCCTGCAGCGTGTTAACTTTCATATTTAATTATGAACTGTTTGTAACTTTTGCAATAAAGTTGAAGATCGCAGCTGAGAAGAAAATCGATATTACTCCAAATTGCGCAATTATTGATTGACTCGTCTATCCTTTACCTGTAATTGCCTTATCAGATGATGTAATTGCATAGATTATCAAATAGATAAATGTTTTTCTTCGATACTTTTTCAGTGTTCAGTCTTAGAATTAAGGGAAAAGAACGAAATACAAATACAAAACGATTTCACGCATGGCTTTCCTAATTAATTGCCGAATTAAATATCAAATTTTCTCATTTGTCAATAACAAAAATCTATTTTAATACGACCAATGATTATGATGAAAACATGTGGAAACTTTAAATACACAACTACAAATATTTATGAAATGAAGTCGTTTAACACAAAGTAAACTAGTATTTATGATAAATTCAGTATGTGAATCGATAGTTTGGGTCATAATGTGAAATTTTGTTCTTAGCAAATAAAATTCGTCTTTGTCATATTTAAAAAAATAAATCAGTTATGTCTGATTTTGGTCCTTGCACTGGAAAACTGACAATACACAATTTGATGTCAAAAGTTGGGTATGGAAAATCCGGGGGCATATGTATAATGTCACTAGTAAATAACTTTGTTGGACATTACTTACCTGCCAAAGAAATGATTGCGAAAAATACACACGGAAGCGATCTCGAAATGTCAAACTGCGGAAATTGGTCAGCTGTTCATTTTAATTAATTCTTGTGGTTTAAAAAGTTGTATTCCAAAAATTACAAAATTCTTTTAAGATAATACAATATCTTTAAGAGGAGCAGATGCACCAGATGTACCAGACATGGACATATCTAAAGCTGTTCAGCACTGGAAGGCTCAATTGGATTTTAACTATATAAATGGACTGTGATATCAACATGATCAATGTGTTTTATATGTGTGTAAATTGATTAAACTTTATATTATGATAATTTATAAATAGTGTACATAATTTAACACCTAGCCTGTCATAAAGCTTTTAAATTCATATATTTCTGAAGGATTGTTTCACATCACAATAGTTCACTCAAAACTAGAGGCTCCAAGGAGCCTGTGTCACTCACCTGATATTTTTGTTTACAATTGATGCATGAAATAATGCAACCATTATACTTTTGCTTTAGTTTCAGAGATATAAGCCAAAAACTGCATTTTACCCCTATGTTCTATTCTTACCCATGTCGGCCATGTTGGTTGGCAGGCGGGGTCACCGGACACATTTTTTAAACTAGATACCCTAATGATAATTGTGGCCAAGTTTGGTTAAATTTGTCTCAGTAGTTTGAGAGGAGAAGATTTTTGTAAAAGATTACAAAAATTTACGAAAATTTGTTAAAAATTGACTTTAAAGGGCAATAACTCCTTAAGGGGTCAATTGACCATTTTGGTCATGTTGACTTATTTGTAGATCTTACTTGGCTGAACATTATTGCTGTTTACAGTTTATCTCTATAATAATATTCAAGATAATAACCAAAAACTGCAAAATTTCCTTAAAATTACTAATTCAGGGGCAGCAACCTAACAACAGGTTGTCTGATTTGTCTGAAAATTTCAGGACAGATAGATCTTAACCTGATGAACATTTTTACCAATTGTCAGATTTGCTATGAATGCTTTAGTTTCAGAGATATAAGCCAAAAACTGTATTTTCCCCCTATGTTCTATTTTTAGCCATGGCGGCCATGTTGGTTGGCAGGCGGGTCGTCAGACACATTTTTTAGACTAGATACCCCAATGATGATTGTGGCCAAGTTTGGTTAAATTTGGCCCTGTAGTTTCAGAGGAAAAGATTTGTGTAAAAGTTAACGGACGACGACGACGGAGGGCGGACGCCAAGTGATGAGAAAAGCTCACTTGGCCCATTTGGCCAGGTGAGCTAAAAAAAAAGGGTTACGCAGTACAAACTTTTGCGCCTTCAAAAATTTCTTGGGAGAACGCTGAGGCCTAAGTGTCACTTTCATGACTTCTTGAAGGCAAGACAAATGTTCTGTTTATAGTTCCTTTAAATGTGATGACTACACAGACACCTACCTTCTTTATCTACAGCTATACGTTTAGTTTCTTCCACTGTTTGACTGGTTCCTTCCCCTACTTTCCATTCTATCTTACACTCATTGCCTGGTACACATTTAGGTTTACCCGTACAAGATATGGAAGTTTCCCTATTCTGAAAAGCATCTACCCTTCTTTCTACTGTATCAATAAAGCTTATAATTGCTGAAAAGACAGTCAGAAAAGTACATGCAGCAAATAAGGTAAAAAAACAATTAAAACATTAAATTTATCATAGGATTAAACACATTTTTTCTAGGGTATATTGATGTGTAAACTGGACCTGTTAACTCAAAAACTAAATAAAAATCTATAGGACTTTTATGTAAAGTTTGTCAGTCAGCAGCTCAGTTTACACATCAATAACCTCTAGAAAACATGTATTTAATACTAATAATTCTTCTAGCAAACATTTGCAACTTTTTATTAACAATTTTTTCATTTGACATCAAATTCACAGTTGACATGTTGTAACTAAGGAATGAGTTGCCATATTGACTTGCTGAACTCCATAAATGTTCGATTAATGCAAAAGAATTTAAAATGTAACAACAAATACCTCAAAAACTCCTTTTTATGAAATATTATACAAATTTGGAGCGCACAAGTAACAGGATGAGAGTTTTCATTCAAAAGATTTTATGTTTTACAATGACATTAATGCATCACAATCATTCATGTATCATGATTATATACATTTTTCCAAACTCTAATGATTTATATTTTTTTGTTATACATAGACAACTATTGAATTCATGCACTTTCCTGTAAAATGCTTATGTTGTAACATCACAGTAAGAACTGATTGTTCTATGAGGACATTAATGCCAATTGAACCCGGGTCAAACAGTTGAATTCATTCCTAAAAAACAACTCAAGATTGGTGTATTAGAATAGTTTCGGTTTTTTTTTTCAATTTCGATTTACACAAATGTACTTTGAACTCCAGGATCGAATGCATGTGTATCGTATGAATAGATTATATTGAAATCAACATGTTACAAAACAATGTCTAAACCAAGGGAAAAAATTTAAACAGACCAACTATATGCCAGTATATTTGTAGAAATGCAAATCAACATGTGTTTATGTAGGTTAAGAAAATAGTTTCAGCAACATGGTCTATCGCAGTATAAAGCAAGGGGAAAAAACCTAATGGACCACACCAATTCATGTATTTGTAGATATGCAAATGATATAAGAATTATAGTATAATCTATACTACTAAAAGAAGAGACCGATTTCATTGAGCCACAACTCCTCTGAAACCATACAAAGTCCGAAATATTTGTGATATGACGTATAATTGTAGTGTTTTGTACTTCCTAAATCTGTCTTTGAAACAATCATTTTTCCACAAAAAAAACCAATTTTTAAGAAAATATCCAAATTCGGAGACCGTTATCGATTTCTGTGTCTTATACGCTGTCGCGCATGCTCAGTCAACATACTGCCCGCGAAATTTTAAAACTCTTTGTTTCAACACTTGCCCAATTGTACCGCGATTTCGCAGGCATCTTTTAGTAAGAGTAAAACCTTACTTGCTCTTTCAACTTTGAATGGTGCAGACATTGCTGTACCATGTGAATTCGAAGCAAAACACTGATAGGTTCCAAAGTCAGCTACCATTGGTTTGGTTATAGTCAGTTCTCCTGTGTCCTTGTTCACACCTATCTGTAGGCTGGGCTGTAACACTTGACCATCTTTATACCATTCATATCTGCAATAAATATAGAATATTAAATGGCTTTTTCAATACTGCACCTTTATCAACTAGAGACACCACGTTGAAGGTTCATACGGTGTGTGTGTGTGTGTGATAATATATATTCACTTTATTATATGCCTAAAATAGATGTTTTTCACATGACATGGTATAAAACGAAGTTGTATTAAAATAAAAATTTGTTACATAAATATGAGTTTGAGAATGTTCAAAAGTTCACAATGTCACACTGGTCTGTGACTGTATATAGTTTGGGTGTTGACTTCTACTAACTCCGGTGGTGAATGAATTCTGTTTCTCCTACCCTCCTTGTGGGGAGAGTGGTGGACATCCTCTCTTGCTTATTCTCCTTAATCTTTTTTTTATATCGTGTAGTCTTCCTTCTTTTGTACAAGGCAGGGTTGCAACCCTTTTTCAGACATAAAATTCAAGGGTTTTTCCAGGATTATCAGTAGTTTTCAAGGATAGCGGTTCTTGCATCGTGATTAAAATTAAGATTGTCAAATAACATTGAAAAACATTTCAAGACCATTTGCATCAAGCATAATCGAGACCAGGATTAACCTCTATCAAGTCGCCACATTCGTATCTTCCCACGAAATGCGCTCAGGAATACCTGTTTAACATATGGATACCAATTTTCAAGGAACGAATCAATGAGCACAGGGGAGGTAGGTAATTCAATTTGTTTTAAAACTTCTGGTTTTTTAACTTTCAAGGATTTTCGCTGGATTTTTTCGTTTTTTCCTGGACTTTTCCCAGTCAAAGCACCTCCAATAAAATTCCCGGCTTTTTCCTGTTTTCCTGGGTGCGTTGCAACCCTGACAGGGTTATTAATTGTCCGTAGGATACAAGTAGTACATGTTTGACTGATTGTATAACACAATTCAAAGTCAAGTAATATTGATAAAGTACACGTTTTTCTGTATGGAATAAAATATGTGTCTGTACAAATTGTTTTACAGGTGTCATAGAGATTCAGGTTTTGATAATGCCTATGCAACAGTAACTGATATCGATATAATCACAGATGGCTGATACAGAGTGGTTGCCATTGATTGTATAACACATAAAATGTACTTGTATTTTCTACTAAGAATGAATATAAAATTACTAAGATTACAGCCTGGAACTCTGAACAGTATGTCATTCAACATATAACAGAACAATTTCTAACTAAACATTTAATTATTTTCGACTAGATGTAAATGACATGTTAACCCCATTGTTAAGTTTGTTTCATAAATATTCCATAAAGGAGTCAATACATTATTTCCCATTCTAATGTCATTTTTATGATTTTGATATATGTTTCATATTTAGATGAGATCTTTGCAATGTCATTAAATAAAACAGAGGCTACTGTGCTGCTTTGAAAAAAATTTGGTTAAAAATTAGGAATTTTGACGAAATTTTTTAAGTTACAGAGGATTTTCACCAAATGGACTGTAGTGGATATTTTTTTCTTTATATTTATATATTTAAACTTACTTTGTTGCAAGGATGCCTGTAGACATAAACCTTAAAACTTACTTTGGTGGAGGATTTCCTGTAGAACTACATTTGAACATTTTAGGTGTATCATCCTCTTCTTTCATATAATATGAATCTTGGAATGGACTTGTGATCTGTGGTGGCATCTCAGCTAAAATAATCAACACTTTCTCAGTACACTTTGCATGCATTTATTATTATAATCGTTTAACAATGGATAAAAAAAAAAGATGTGGTTGGATCAACATCTGACAATGAATTCCTTTCAAACACCTTGCTAGGGGCTGTCTTGAAAATTAAGATTCTAAATTTGCTAAAATTTTCGTAATTTGGTCTCTGGTGGATAGTTGTTTTATTAGCAATCATACCACATCTTCTGATTTTTTATAGATAGGAGTGTGAATTATCAAAAAGGAGTAATGATATAGTTACTGCATGAATATTGTTCAGAGTAGATTTTTATATCGCATTAGCTCACGAGTGCCATATAAAGTTAACAGGAAAGAATCATGTTCACCTTTATATTGTGTTGTTAAGTTTGAAAAACAGTTTAAAACTTTAACTTTGTCACCAATTTTGAAGCTTTGCACTTATAAAAGTAAAATGCAAATAAATGACAATACTTACGATCCGCACATTGTATCACGGATAAAAAAGCAACAAAAAATAACACTGTAACTAATGTCTTCATTTTCTTTTTTAATATCGCTTCTATCTTCTTTTTAAATGTTGTTTATTAATCTGAAAATAGAATAAATCTAATATCGTAACTGACAACAAAATGGAAAACTTGAAATAAAATTGAGAATGGAAATGGGGAATGTGTCAAAGAGACAACAACCCGACCATAGAACAGACAACAGCAGAAGGTCACCAACAGGTCTTCAATGTAGCGAGAAATTCCCACACCCGGAGGCGTCCTTCAGCTGGCCCCTAAACAAATATATATACTAGTTCAGTGATAATGAACGCCATACTAAACTCCAAATTGTACACAAGAAACTAAAATTAAAAATAATACAAGACTAACAAAGGCCTGAGGCTCCTGACTTGGGACTGGCGCAAAAATGCAGCGGGGTTAAACATGTTTATGAGATCTCAACCCTCCCCCTATACCTCTAGCCAATGTAGAAAAGTAAACGCATAACAATACGCACATTAAAATTCAGTTCAAGAGAAAGGTTACTTATATATGAGCTGTGTGTGATAGAAATCGACCTTATGCAAGTGCATGTATACATGTTCATGTATATCCTTTGATTGATTTTGGAACATTCAAATACGAAATAAAAGATGAATTTTGGTCAGGTTTGTAGGGTTCTTGTTACAACTCAATTTTCAAAGTTCGACTTTCTGTAGATTTTTTCAACCCAAAATAGGTTAACAGATGTATTGATATTAATTTGCATAAGCTCAATTTCTATCTGACACAGCTCATATGTTATTAGACACTACACACTACCATTACAATTCAGTACTACTTCAATACCATTGCAAGAATACTATTTTTCACAATATTAGTATCCATTTTTTTTTAGTGGACTTATCATAGCAGTGCCTAACAGTGCCCACTATTTTTTATCGTATAAACATCAATTTTTTGCAATGTACTTATCTTATCTTAGCAGTGCTTGTCAACACACATCATTTTTTATTGTATAAGTATCAATTTTTTGAAGTGCACTTATCTTAGAAGTGCTTGTCAATGCACACTATTTTCACTGTATAATTACCATTTTTTTTTCAGTGTACTAGTCACAGTTTATCTTAGCAGTTCGTCAATGCACACCAAGTATCAAAATTTTGCAGTGCACTTATCTTAACCGCGCCTGTCAATGCACATTATTTTTCACTGTATAAGTATCAATTTTTTGCAGTGCACTTATCTTAACAGTGCCTGTCAATGCACACTTTTTTCACTGTACAAGTATCAAATTTTTTGCAGTGTACTTATCTTAGCAGTGCCCATCAACACAAACACTTTTTTATTGTAGAAGTATCAGATTTTTACAGTGCACTTATCTTAGCACTAGCAGTGCCTGTCAATGCACACTATTTTTCACTGTATAAGTATCATATTTTTGCAGTGCACTTATCTTAGCAGTGCCTATCAAACTATGCACTAAGTGACTTAACTTCACAAATCATAAACCCCAAATATAATGCCATCACTATTAAAGAAAGATGCAAAACATGCAACCAAGGACTTTGATTGAACAAATACTCAATTGATTTCATCACAGACAGAACTAGTATCACATATGACATACATTTGAATTCAAGTTGTTCTTTGAAGGCAAAGACACCAATTTTCTGTTTTACAGATATTGTCAATAGATAAAATTGAGAATGGAAATGGGGAATGTGTCAAAGAGACAACAACCCGACCATAGAACAGACAACAGCAGAAGGTCACCAACAGGTCTTCAATGCAGCGAGAAATTCCCGCACCCGGAGGCGTCCTTCAGCTGGCCCCATAAAAAATATATGTACTAGTTCAGTGATAATGAACGCCATACTAAACTCCAAATTGTACACAAGAAACTAAAATTAAAAATAATACAAGACTAACAAAGGCTAGAGGCTCCTGACTTGGGACAGGCGCAAAAATGCGGCGGGGTTAAACATGTTTATGAGATCTCAACCCTCCCCTATACCTCTAGCCAATGTAGAAAAGTAAACGCATAACAATACGCACATTAAAATTCAGTTCAAGAGAAGTCCGAGTCTGATGTCAGAAGATGTAACCAAAGAAAATAAACAAAATGACAATAATACATAAATAACAACAGACTACTAGCAGTTAACTGACATGCCAGCTCCAGACTTCAATTAAACTGATTGAAAGATTATGTCTTCATCATATGAATATCAGGCACAATCCTTCCCGTTAGGGGTTTAGTATCATACCATCATAACATATATGAGAAGAACATAACCCGTGTCATGCCAACAACTGGTTTTTAAATAAATGTGTTTAGTGCCAATGCAAAGACCCTATAAGTGAATCAATATTAACGCCAAAATATGCAATCTTTAATGACCTGACAACAGTATCGTAACTATATCCCTTTTTAATAAGTCTATTTAAAGGTTTTGTGAGCTTCAGAGGTGAATACTGACATTTTTGTGCTTTATAAAGAATATTTCCATAAAAAATTGGATGTGAAATACCTGAACGTATAAGAAGTCTGCATGTTGAGCTATATTTACAAATGATGTCCTTATACCGATGATAAAATTTAGTAAATGTTTTGACTAGTTTGTGATATCGAAAACCCTGGTGTATTAATTTTTCAGTAATACATAAATTTCTCTCGTTAAAATCTAAAACATTGTTACATACACGAGCGAATCGTACAAGTTGAGATATATAAACACCGTAAGATGGTGACAAGGGGACGTCACCATCTAAAAATGGATAATTAACGATAGGAAATGAAAAATCATCTCTTTTATCATATATTTTAGTATTAAGCTTTCCGTTAATGATATAGATATCAAGATCGAGGATTTCTTTATATGTAGAATGGGGGCAGGAGAATCTGGAAATATTTACTTACATTTTTTATATTGATGTTGTTTTATGTTTATGTTTTGTCATATGCTCTCGCTATAGTTTTATTAGTATTTACAATAAAGAAATGTATTAAATTGATTTTTTTTATTTCAGATTATCTCCCTTTACTAAATGTGTTTTCCTAGAGGTATCATAAATAAACCGCTTCCAATGTAAGATGTGTTCATAATAACAATAACTTGTTAGATTATTTAAGAACAATTAGATTAAAATAATGGGGAAATTCTATAGAAAAAAACACAGAAATGAGCTTTGGGGTCATATTTTATAGACACAATGGTCAGTCTCAGAATCTTGAGTCACTGACTTGACATTAGCATTAAAATGTGGTTGAGTTCAAATGGTTTTAAGAGCACACAAACATCCTTACAATTATACTGCTAAACACATAATTTGAGTTATAAGTACTTGTACTGTATAATTATCACAAAGTATCTTCTCCATCAGTACTTTTCTATATATCTACTTAATACATGTACTATTCATAAGAAATTCTGATAGGAGCTGAAATTTTCAATTCTTAACTTACTTCTTAGGTTTACTAATTATCCGTCCTATACTTAAAAATGCATTGTTCACACAATAACGCTAAAATGTCAGAGAGGTAAAGATGATTAATACACCTGGTTAACAAAATCCAGGTAAATAAAGGCATACCTGAGATAACCTGGGGATCTCTGAAGGGTTAATAAGTTAATCTAGCATTTAAATTTACTTTCCTTTTTTAAGACTCTGATAATGGAGTTGTTATAAAAACAAGAATTATTTGTTTTTTACATTGTATATCTACGAGATAAAGGACCTTAAATTCTTCAATACACTAAAAAATCAATAGACACTTCAGAGGATTATATATACTTATTTAATCAAACATTCCGTATAAGGACGATTACATGTAAACTTCCGGTCAAAGCACTCCTGGATGAGTAAACCCTGTTATCATGTTATTGTTTAATCAGCTGTATTGTCAACAATTGTGTATCATATAATTACTTCTATTACATTGTCATTAATTATATAATAGGAAAACCTTGAGTCAAAACTAAAGTGCAGGATCATCAATATTAGGCTTTTAAATTGAATATTTTTGTATGTATTGTTTCTTCAATCTGATAAACTTCTGGTTCAGTGATTAAACATAAATATAATTAAATTACAGTGTCTATAATACTGTGAATATTATACCAGTGAGGCTACCAGCTGGGCATGTGAAAGTGTCCCAGTCAGGTATTAACACTGAATTATATTATACCAGTGAGGCTCCCAGCTGAACATGAAAAAGTGTCCCAGTCAGATATTAACACTGAATTATATTATACCAGTGAGGCTCCCAGCTGAACATGTGAAAGTGTCACAGTCAGGTATTAACACTGAATTATATAATACCAGTGAGGCTAGCAGCTGGACATGTGAGTGTGTCACAGTCAGGTATTAACACTGAATTATATTATACCAGTGAGGCTACCAGCTGTACATGTGAAAGAGTCACAGTCAGGTATTAACACTGAATTATATTATACCAGTGAAGCTAGCAGCTGAACATGTGAAAGTGTCACAGTCAGGTATTAACACTGAATTATATAATACCAGTGAGGCTAGCAGCTGGACATGTGAAAGTGTCACAGTCAGGTATTAACACTGAATTATATTATACCAGTGAGGCTCCCAGTTGAACATGAAAAAGTGTCCCAGTCAGGTATTAACACTGAATTATATTATACCAGTGAGGCTCCCAGCTGAACATGTGAAAGTGTCACAGTCAAGTATTAACACTGAATTATATTATACCAGTGAGGCTCCCAGCTGAACATGTGAAAGTGTCACAGTCAAGTATTAACACTGAATTATATTATACCAGTAAGGCTACCAGCTGAACATGTGAAAGTGTCACAGTCAGGTATTAACACTGAATTATATTATACCAGTGAGGCTACCAGCTGAACATGTGAGTGTGTCACAGTCAGGTATTAACACTGAATTATATTATACCAGTGAGGCCACCAGCTGGACATGTGAAAGTGTCACAGTCATGCAGGTATTAACACTGAATTATATTATACCAGTGAGGCTACCAGCTGGACATGTGAAAGTGTCACAGTCAGGTATTAACACTGAATTATATTATACCAGTAAGGCTACCAGTTGAACATGTGAAAGTGTCACAGTCAGGTATTAACACTGAATTATATTATACCAGTGAGGCTACCAGCTGAACATGTGAGTGTGTCACAGTCAGGTATTAACACTGAATTATATTATACCAGTGAGGCCACCAGCTGGACATATGAAAGTGTCACAGTCATGCAGGTATTAACACTGAATTATATTATACCAGTGAGGCTACCAGCTGGACATGTGAAAGTGTCACAGTCGTGCAGGTATTAACACTGAATAATATTATACCAGTGAGGCTACCAGATGGACATGTGAAAGTGTCACAGTCAGGTATTAACACTGAATTATATTATACCAGTGAGGCTAACAGCTGGACATGTGAAAGTGTCACAGTCAGGTATTAACACTGAATTATATTATACCAGTGAGGCCACCAGCTGGACATGTGAAAGTGTCACAGTCAGGTATTAACACTGAATTATATTATACCAGTGAGGCTACCAGCTGAACATGTGAGTGTGTCACAGTCAGGTATTAACACTGAATTATATTATACCAGTGAGGCTACCAGCTGGACATGTGAAAGTGTCACAGTCAGGTATTAACACTGAATTATATTATACCAGTGAGGTTACCAGCTGGACATGTGAAAGTGTCACAGGCAGGTATTAACACTGAATTATATTATACCAAGTCATAATTCTTGATGTGCCTCATGGTTGTATAGATATAAATAAAAGAAAAGTTTCAGGCAGTTTTGTATTGTTTCTGTACATTACGGTGAGATGTCCGGCAATTCATGACAATATTCAGTTACATTTCTTTGCCTGTCTATGTCTCGTCTGAACTCCCCCCGATTACAGCGGTGAATGCGGAGATTATAGCATGGGCATTGAATGTCTATCAAATAATTACATTCAAACCAGTGATACAGATTGTCGTGAACTTGCAGTGTGGTGCTGGTTTTTGCTTCGATTTGAAAATCTCTTTGTGACTTTGAGATGAAAACAACAAAAATGTTATGTTCCTTTGCTTTTTAACAGCCCTGGACTATGTGAGATTAGTTTAGAGTTTAAATTCTCATTTGAATATTGAATTTAAATGTAAATTTATTTTGAGATGAAAACAACAATAATGTTTTTTTTTTTTTTCTTATATTGTCATTGTTAAAGCAACATTTGATTTTTCTGAATTATTTCTTCCAAATGATTTTTGTCAATTACTGTATGTTACAAATACATGCATAAATTCTGTATGTTATATATAAAAAATAAGGAGATGTGGAATGATTGCCAATGAGACTGAACTTGTATTCCACCAGAGATCAAATGACATCAATGTAAGTCATGATAAGTCACCGTACGGCCTTCAACAATGAGCAAAACCCATACCATATAGTAAGCTATAAAAGACCCCAAATTATAAAAAGTAAAACAATTCATACAAAAAAACCAAGTCTGATTTATTTACGAAACAGTAATCAAAATATAAATATGAGAGATAGCGACCAACGACAACTACTGAATTACAGGCTCCTACATGTATTTGTGTGTTTCTATAATAAAGTCACTTTTGAGATTTGTGGATGCATTTAAACATGAATAGAATGAGATGTGGGTATAAATCAATGAAACACTCACTCACTAGCTTGTAATCTAATCTTAAAATAAATTTACATTTAAATTCAATATTCAAATGAAGATTTAAACTCAAAGCTAATCTCACAATATAATACGGGGCTGTTAAAAAACTTCAGCCCAGTGGTTTTATATTTACAAAAATTAAGTCAAAAGTGTTTGCTACATTTTGATGCTGACTTAGCAGTTATATATACATCAATTTATAAAACCATTCATCCATATCAACATTTTGAATGTTCTGAAAAATACAAAGTGTATTAACTAATTCAGATCTTTTTTAATTTAGCCCTAAAAATGTGAACTCTACAAATTTGTGGTGGCAAATTTTTATTTCAATTTTTTGTATAAATTTTTTTAACATTTAGGAAAAATATTTTCTAAGAAGATGGTTTCATTCATAAAAGAAATATAAACATTACTGACCTTAAATAACAACACCACCTGAACAATAATATACCGTCAAGATGTTATCCAAAATATATGCACAAAAAATTCCTATGTGACATGTACAAACTGTATTAATGACATACAGCTCAGTAAATCTTCAGTGTATCTACATACCCATCACATTTCATGTACTTAATAAGCCATTGTTTATTGACTCTCACATATTTACATTCATGAATATTCATTATCACAGTTTAGCCAATAATTCTCAAGACAAACAATTCTGTATCGATTAATGTGCCAAATATGGTCATGCTGCAAACACAAAATTGACAAATACGATAAAATTTAGGGTGAAAAATCAATTTCCTTGGGGCAATTTTAATTATAATTCTTGTTTGGCATGTATGGCTTTTGGTAACTTGAAGATTGTGTAAGGCAAAATCAATAAATCTATGACACTTTTTCTTTAAATTTGAAGCCTGCTTGCAGGTTCTTTTTCAATGTGAACAGTTTACTTTGAATAATTTATGAATGCTTTACATGTTTCCTATTGAAAACAGTTTAAACACATTTTATAAATGTATAGCTGTATTCATAATTAGTTATCCACCGTGATTTGGAGGAGCCAGGCATTACAATATAATATTAGCTAGTGGTCTAAGCTAGCCCAAAAAAGAGGGGGGCCCAGCTCCCCTCAGCCCTTTCTTTTCTATCCTATGCCCTTGTAGTCATGCACTATGAAGGAAAATATACAAAAAGACATTATTAACTTATTCAATGACAATATTAAAAAAAAAAAGCATTTGAATTTTAAGACACTTAACTACCCTCTGGTGGGAGACTTTCACCGTAAGCTGATTACACAATACTAAAGACCATATTATCCTTATGTAACGATCAATAATTTGACACAATGAAATCGACAAAAACTGCATTGCAAAGGGACTTCTATGGCTACAGTGTCACTTCTATATTTTAACAGCATGTCAAAATTGTTCAACATATTTTAATTCCAGTTAAATGTGGGCGTCTTTTACAAACCTGACAATGTTGAAATAATGTGTTAATCATGTTAATGCTATAAGTATGGGTGAAATTGAGACAAGTTGATAATTGGACAATTTCTTTGATAGATGTGACAAGCCAAAGTAAGTTCTATAGGTGACAAAAGAATTTTGAGTCAACCTTTACAAATAAAATGTGTTTTATGGTTTTAAAATCTTATTATTAATTTAAACTTCCCATTGCAAGTTCAGATAACCAAAGGACAAGGTCATGCACCACTACACATTCTTTCTCTTGACACAAGTTGCATTTTTTAACGACATTATGCATGTTATATATGGATATACATAAAATACATGTGCATCTTTTACAGATTTTACAATACATCATTTTCCTTTTTCCAAATGAATGTTAATATTTATCCAGGTACACTTTAAAAGGACCTGTTACCTTTCCCAATCAATCCCCACGCTTAGTAT